CCCTAAGACTCAACTAAACCAAGCAAGATAGATGGAATTTATTCGTGGTTCTAAATAAACTGGAGATATAAAGACAGTTCTGTTCTGATGCCCAAGTCTGCCAAGAGCAAAGACACGAGAAGGGGACAGCTTGGGAATTGGGAACGAAATTTTTCCTGACTAGGGACAGCAGGGACCCAGGATTCCTGGGTTGTGTTATTACCCTGTGTCTAGAAGATATTGTCTCCTCATCTTGCATGGAGGGGGTCCTTGGAATGTGGGCACCCAGAGGGAAGGGGCTCCGCCAGCTCCTTGTGCCACAGCCATCCCAAGCTCAGTGTCAGGGCCAGAACCATGAATAGTTCACAGGATGAGGCTTTCAGAGTCCCACCATGCCCTCTTGTCCCCATACCTTCCTCCTTTGTGCCTACCACTGCACCTGAAACTCCACAGGATTGTTACAGATGAATGAAGACAGCAGACATCGAGTGCCTGAGCACCAGACACATCAGTTCATTTCATCTTCACCATGACCTTGGAAAGCAGCTACTGTGATCACCCCCACTGTTTGCAGGTGAAGAATCAGAAGCTTAGGAAAGTTTAGAAGTTTCCCCCAGAGGCCCACAGCTAGAAAATGACAGAGCTGGGAGGGAAGCCCAAATTGTCCAAGCCTGTGCTTTTAGCCACTCTTCCATGACTTATCTTAAGCATCAAGCTTTGTGTTAGTATTGTGTGAACTTAACACAAAATGCTTTTTCCTGCAACTGGTTGTGTGACCATAACTAAGTTAAATAACCTCTTGGACACTCACTTGCTACATGTTTAATATAAAAGGATTAGACTAGGCCATCAAAGTATTGGATTCATTGAGTAAATGTTCATTGGGCATCTACTGTGTACTGATTGAAACACAGACCCTGTCCTTGTGGAGCTTGTTACAACTATAGCAAATCTATTCCTAATGCTGTCTGATCAATACTTTGGTCTGCATAGTTCTGGAGAGTATTAGAAAACAACAACAATGAGAAAACAATATGCAGTATGGCTATCATTTAGTGAATGCTTGTTTGAAGCATGGTGCCATGCAAACTGCTTCACAAGCATTACTCACCTAGTTTTTCCAACCCTATGTGGTTGGGTTCCTATTATTCTCATTTTGCCTATGACAAAACCAGGGCTCAAAATTTCTAATGTGCCCATCAATGCACAGCTCAGAAGTGGCAGTGCAAGAATCCCAATATACATGGGTCCGACCCCAAAGCCCTAGCCACTGCACTGTTCTAAGCAAGACTCCATACTCCAGCTATTTATAATCTTCAGAGGCTCCTATTCCCACCTTGACTCTCAGTTATTTCAGAAGAGGATAACTAATGATAATTTTTTAAGGAATAAGAGAGGTTTTCCCACATTCCTTGTGTTCATAGATGTCCTCTGTAGCATATTTGTTCTGGTGGAGTGTTTTGCAGAGGTTGAACCTTGGACTACCCACATCAGAGTCACTTGGAGTACTTGTGAAAATGCGAGTTCCTGGATCCAGGGACCGACATACCAGATTAGACTTTCTGGATAGGAGGTCTGGGAACGTGCATGTTCAACAATCCCGCTGGAGGAGTCTTTTCTTACTAAAAATTGAGGTTACTGTCCCGGTGGTATATATGAGCCCTAGCAGAATCACCTGTCATATGCCTTACACCCATGTGACCTCTCCGATTTAAATTCTCTGATGTTTTAAATATCTGTGGTTTGAATTCTCTAGCATTATAGATGGAGCTGTCATCAAACCTCTGTATTCACTGTGATTGGAAGCTAGCTTCTTGCGGTGAGCTCTGTATTGTTCTGGAAGAGCCCAGCACTGGCTGAAAGGTTTCTTACATCCATGATGTATATCAGGTTTTCTCTGGGATGAGATCCCTGCTGTTAATTCAGGTATTTGCTTTCAGTGGTTTATATTTTTTTTTCTATGAGATCTTCACAGTTGAAGCTCTGAAGTTCAAACAGGCCCAGTGGGGAGAGGGCCTTCACGCGGGAATTTCAGCCTCCCGGTGAGGGTTTCCACCCACAGGTGAAGGTATCCCCGGATCAGGAGCCCCGTGAAGTCATGGCCCAGAGCCCTCCATTGGAGGGCTGTGAGAGGAAGCCCAGTATTCACGTCTGCCCACCTCCCCCCAGCCCCAGCCTGGCCTCCTGGCCTCTGCTGCGCTGAGCTGGGCTGAAGTCTTCTGATGGAGCGTTCAGGTGTGGGGCCAAACAGGCCAGGGTTCAAGGCCTGGCTTTACTGCTTGCTGGCTGAGTACCTTCACTTCTCTGAGCCTCCATTTCCTCCTTTGTAGGGCATTGAAAGATTAAATGAGATAATGTGCATTAACTGTCCAGCACAGGGTAACTGCTCAGCTCCAGGGAAAGACTCTTGCAGGTTCAGTGCAAGTTGTGCTTTGTTCCCCTCCCTCCCTCTGCCTCTGCTGCCTGCCAGATCCGTTCAGGTCGCAGAAACCCCGCCAGGACTGGCAGCCCCTCATTCTCCATCTGCTTCTCTCAGATGCACTCAGTTCCTTTCTTCTCCTTTGGTCTGTTTGAACTTTGGTGATCAAATCTCAGTTAAAGGAAAAGCACTTAGATGTCAAGGTCCCATGTTAAGAATCCCATCAAAGACCAGGAAGTAAACAAAAAAGGTATTACAAAGCTTGGGTACTAAAGCTCAGGTTTTTAAATGCAGAGCACTCATGCAGAACCCAACTGTTCTTACTTTAGAAACGACTATAACAAACCTTAAATTAGAAGCGGTAGAGCATTTAGAAGCCAGAAAGCTGCCACACATAGGCATTTACTGATAGCAACAAGAAATTGTTGGAACCTCACAGCAAAAAGAAAGAAAGACGGAAGGAAAGAAAGAAACAAAAGAAGAGAGAGGGGAAAATAAAGGGAAAAAAGAGAGAGGGAGAGTGGAGAGAAAGAGAGAAGAAGGGAGGCAAGGGGGGAAGGAGGGAGGGAGGAACAGATTTTAAAATCCCAAAAAGTTTAGCAATCATTAGTCATTCACGGGGGGCAGCAGTTTTTAAAGTGTAGCTAGAGATGAGGGGGTTGCCTGGGGGTAGTCCCCAAGATGTTTTCAGGGGGTTTGTAAGGTCCAAACAAATTCTATGTAGTACTAAGACATTATATACCTTTTCACTCCCATTCTGTACAAGCTTACAGTGGAGTTTTTCAGGCACAACCTGTGATGAAGGGGTAACTTTTAAAGCTAGTGGGATAAGTATCTGTGTGTTCTTGTGTTTTAAAGATTTTTCGGTTTTAATGTTAATACAGTAAATATTGATAGATACAACCCACATAAAACAAAAGCAATTTGCGGTCCTCAACAATTTTTTTTAAGACAGGGTTTTGCTCTGTTACCCAGGCTGGAGTGCAGTGGCACAGTCACAACTCACTGCAGCCTCCACCTCCCAGGATAAAGCGATCCTCCCACCCCAGCCTCCTGAGTAGCTGGGACTACAGACATGCGCCACCACTGCCAGCTAATTTTTTGTATACTTTTGTAGATGGGATTTCACCTTGTTGCCCAGTCTGGTCTCAAATTCCTGAGCTCAAGTGATTCGCCCACCTCGTCCTCCCAAAATGCTGAGATTACAGGTGTAATCTCACGCCTGGCCCAATAATTTTTAAAAGTGTAAAAGGACCCCGATACCAAAAAGTTTCAAAATGACCGGTATAGGGTTAAACAGCCCAGTGCACCCCTGAGCCATAACATCCTGTGGGAGAGCAGAGAAGTATCATGTGCTTTTGAATGTGAGTCGTGGCTGCAGGCCACAGAAGGGCTCCCAGGCCACCTGCGGCTGCCTTCTTGCATCTTCCATGGCCTCCCTTGTGAGTAATTACCTAAGAGAAAATACGCATGTGTGCGTGTTTGAGAGCGAGAGAGAATGCGCATTGGGACAATTGGAACAATCTCTTATTCATTTTTTTCTAAGCCCCGCCCAGGGGCCAGGCTGACAATAATTAGTACTCAGTAAATGTTTTGGAATTGAGTTAATCAACATTTAGTGTATTAGTCTGTTCTCACACTGCTAATGAAGACATAACCGAGACTGGGCAATTTATAAAGGAAAGAGGCTTAATAGAGTCACAATTCATCATGGCTGGGGAGGCCTCAGGAAACTTACAATCATGGCAGACGGGGAAGCAAACACATCCTTCTTCACATGGTGGCAACAAGGAGAGGTGCCAAGAAAAAAGGGGGAAAGCCCCGTATAGAACCATCAGGTCTCATGAGAACTCACTGTCACAAGAACAGCAGCACAGGCGTAACCCCCGCCCCTCCCGCCATGATTCAATTACCTCCCACTGGGTCCCTCCCATGAGACGTGGGGATTCTGGGAGCTACAATTCAAGATGAGATTTGGGTGGGGACACAGCCAAGCCGTATCAGTGTGTCTGTTGAGGGTGCCAGAGAGGTTTGTTACTCCATTTGAAAAGATTTATTTGAAAACAGCTAAAATTTGGCTAAAATGATTTTAAATGATTACCTGCTTTAAAGAGGGAAACATATCCATCCAGAACCCATGTTTATGTGATGTGGTGGGGGCTCAGGCCCTGGAGGCAGCAGGATCTTCAGGCACCTTTCACCCCCCAGAGCTATGCCACTCTGATCCCTAGGGATCACATAGACTTGGAATCAGTCTGGCTCTACCTCTCAAGCTGTGCCACCATCCCATAGCTGCCACAGCCTTAGTATAATCTTCTGAAAAATTAGGCATCCCAATAGGACTGCCCACAGATGTGCCCTGGGGATTGGATGGAAACACGCACAGAAAGCCCCTCCCTCAGTGCCCAGCGGCTGAGAATGCACATGAGATAGGAACTGTCCTTATCAGCCTTCAGCTCATTGTCAACGAGTTTGGGGTGATGATGGATTTTGCCACAGACTGCAGCATCATGTTTTCCTAACAAGAGTCACTATCTATACATAAGATTTATATTTAAAAGAAGGTCCTAGTGTGGTCATCTGTTCATTCCTCTCTTGTCAGACACATGAAGAGCACCCACACTGAGCAGGCCCCAGACCAGATGATAAGGAAGCAGAGATTCACAGTCCAATCCACGCCTGCTAGAGCCTCACAGCCTGCTGAGGGAGACAGGCGCTCAGGGATCAGCACAGATCAGTGTAGTAAATTCTTCAGTGACAGCAAGAATAGCTGACTTGTGGTGAGCATTCACTCTGTGCTGGGCAAGGCCCTGGTGTCATTAATTCTCACAGACACCCTGTGAGGCAGGTTGTTATTCTCCCCCCTTTAAAGGAGGAAACTGAGTCACCCACAGGTTAAGTGTTTTGCTAATGAATGATAGAGCCTGAATTTGAACCCAGGCGATCTGGCTCCAGGGCCTGTTCTCTTCTGCATGATGCTGTATCTCCTCCTACACCTCCAGGCCCTGCAGCTCCGGGTCAGTGTCTCCTGTTTCCTCAGGAGGGCCCAGGGTGGGGAACAGCACATGGAGTTAGGAGTCATGGCTGAAGCTGAAGTCCTGGCTTTTCTTCTTGCCTCTGTGCAACTTCAAGCAAGTTATTTATCTTCTCTGAGCCTTAGTGTCTTCATCTAAAAGGTAGGGGTGATCATGGGACCTACCTCAAAACTTGTTCGTAGGAGCAAAACAATACTGTGAGTCAATATATCTCTCTGATTAAAAGAAAAGAATGAAGAAAACAGCTTCACTCTAGGCTCTGCCAGCTGTGTGATCCTGGAGAAGATATTTAACCTCCTGGAGCTTTAGTTTCATCCTCCATATAATGGAGATAATAAAATGCTTGATATAAGATTTAAATGAGACAATAAAATGTAAAAGGGCTGAACACAACTGGTAATGATTGTTCAGCACAGGTTATCTTCTATTATCACGCTTTTGTGCTTAGTGGGTTTTAAAGCAGGACAGTACTACTGTGGGCCGGGCGCGGTGGCTCAAGCCTGTAATCCCTGCACTTTGGGAGGCCGAGACGGGCGGATCACGAGGTCAGGAGATCGAGACCATCCTGGCTAACATGGTGAAACCCCGTCTCTACTAAAAAATACAAAAAACTAGCCGGGTGCGGTGGCGGGCGCCTGTAGTCCCAGCTACTCGGGAGGCTGAGGCAGGAGAATGGCATGAACCCGGGAGGCGGAGCTTGCAGTGAGCTGAGATCCGGCCACTGCACTCCAGCTTGGGCGACAGAGCAAGACTCCGTCTCAAAAAAAAAAAAAAAAAAAAAAAAAAAAAAGAAAAGGACAGTACTACTGTGATGAAGCTGGTCTTTGGCTCTAAGGCAAACCAAGTCCCAAGTTACTTTTTGGGGCAGGGAGATATCAGTGACATCATGGTCTTGGCACACTGAAGTCCTTAAAGGACTCTGTGCTCTAGGATCTTGCAACTCATACGGTCCAGGACCACCAGCATCAGCTGCAGCTGGGTGCGGATCAGAAATGCAGAATCTTGGATCCCACCCCACACCCCCTGAATCAGAATTGGCATTTTGACAAGATCCCCAGGTAATTCTTACACACACTCAAGTTTGAGAAGCACTGGTGTCACGTGGAAAGAAAGAATGGCACTGATAACGTGGAGTGAGAAGGGTTAATGTTTAGTTTGGCTGTGGCCAAGGCACCGGAAACAGAAGGTTCCAGAGATTGAAGCACATGAACTGATGGGACAGGAAGGCTCTCTTTCCTGCCTCTGTCCTGGATGGCCAGGGGCTCCCGCCTGAGACCTGTGCTGAGCTTCGAGCTGCAGTGAGAAAGGACCCTGGTCAAGCAAAGCAGAGGGCAATCTGGGGCAGAGGGAGGCCTGAGAGCCCTTGCTCGGGGTTGCCTGAGCTCAGGGTTGCCAGGTGAGCCCAGGAAGGTCCAGTCCTTGGGCCAAGGCCATCTGAGGTAGAGTGGGGAGACCCGGAGAAACACCACAGGACTAACTGAGCAGGACCCTCCCGCAGGAGCTGGGTGGCAGGGCTGGGACAGCTGAGAGCCCCTGGGTCTGCTTTCACACCCGGACCTGCCCTCTGACCCCTGCCACCCAACTGTGCTGTGACTGTGCAGCTGTGACTGTGCCTGTCCGCATTCCTCCGCAGTGCTGGAGCAGCTGCTCCCAGAGCTCACCGGGTTGCTCAGCCTTCTGGACCACGAGTACCTCAGCGATACCACCCTGGAGAAGAAGATGGCCGTGGCCTCCATCCTGCAGAGCCTGCAGCCCCTTCCAGGTCAGCCGCCAGCAGCCTGCCTGGAGGAGCTCCACTTATGTAGGACAACAAAACCTCCCTTCACCTGACTCAAGAACATGCAGGAACCCTCTGCCGCACCCCCATCCCCAGGGGCTGCCGCAGGAGGAAGGCTAAGCCCTGGACACAGCGTCCAATGCATTCCATGCAAGCAAGAGCTTGTCCACTGGGACCCCTCCCCACCGACAGCCCTGGCTGTGCTCTTTGTACTCCTTCACCCCCACCCTCCACAGACACACACCCACATACCCCCCACACTGACCTACAACACACACATCCAGCCCCTCACACAACTCAACATGCCCCCATGCCCCCCACACACCCACCACACCTGACACATGACACGCACACACCCTAGCATATGCCCGACAGCCCCAGTAATCTGTTTCCATACTGGGCTTCTGGGCATCCTTTTCCCTGGAGAAAGAGATCCTCAATAACAGTGTAAAAACTAAAACAAACTTCGAAACCCAGTGAAATAATTTAGGACATGAATGCACTTTGCAAAGTGAGTACTGTGTCCCATATGGGCTAGAAGTATGAGTGGGGCAGGGGAGACCTGGTCCCTCCTCCTTCACAGCTGGCGGGTCCCTCTTCTTCCTCACAGCAAAGGAGGTCTCCTACCTGTATGTGAACACAGCAGACCTCCACTCGGGACCCAGCTTCGTGGAGTCCCTCTTTGAAGAATTTGGTAAGTGACCCCCTCCCAGCCTCAGCTACGGAGCTATCCCTTTCTCCCTGTGTGTGCAGAAGCGTCCCCCGACTGGACTGGGCCTGGCTCTAACGTCACATCATTAAGTCGCTTGGGGCAAGTCCTTGGCCCCTCTGGGCTCTGCCAGCTCTGAAAGTCTAATCCAAGTCTGCCTAGGAATAGGAATTGAGCTCAGAGATTCGAGGAATGGTAGGGATGACCATGCAGTCCAAAGAAGGCGTGGCACGTTAGGGCATTTCCTCGCTGGCCGTGTCCAGGTGATTGCCACTTGAGACACTGGGCTGAGTGGTGCAGTGGCTCAGCAGAAATGAGAGCTTGCGTGGCTGCCATGGGCACGGGAGCAGCTGAGCCAGGTGCATGCAGAGTACCTGCCGACCTAGCCCTATCCTGAGGGAAGACAGCCCTGTTCAACACAGAAAGAAAGCTACAGGTCTCGGTGAGAGAGTTTTGGGGACTCATAGACTTAGGGAGCACACTGTGCCTTTATAACAATGCTCAAAGATTTCCAAAGTACCAAAACAAGTGTGATTTTATTTGATCCTCTCTACAATCCTGGAAAACAGACAAGGCAGGCATCATTGCCGCCAGCGTACTGATGAGTTTCAGAGTCATAAGTCATTTGCTTAGGGTTACTAATGGAGGGGTGGTGGAGCCTGACCTCACACTCAAGCCTCCTGACCCCAAATCCAGCCCTCTTCCCCAGGGCTGTGCTGCTCATCCTTGGCTTTTCTTTGCCCCATGGTCTGTCCCTCTGTAGACTGTGACCTGAGTGACCTTCGGGACATGCCAGAGGATGATGGGGAGCCCAGCAAAGCAGCCAGCCCTGAGCCAGCCAAGAGTCCATGCCTGAGAAACGTGAGTCATGGCCTGGGTTCCCACACCGCAGGGCCTCTGTGCCTCTGGAGGAGGCAGGGGAAGCTCTCCCCTTCATGCTGGGTGCCCTCCTGGCGGTTCTGGACCCTGTTGTCTCTCTCGGGTTGTGGGTGAGGGCACAGGTAGCACCGTATGAACATTTCAATGGCCCATGATGTGCTCACTGTGTGTTTTTTTCCTTATTTAATTTTATTTTTATTTTTTATTTTGCCACCTTCCTGACTGGGAAGTCACTGTGTTTGTGCTGAGCAGGGAGAATGTGGTGAACTTATCTGTGCCTTCAGGCCCAAAGGACGTCACCACCCCAACTTCTGATTGCATAACATAAGCCGGGCTGTGGGAAAAGCTCCGGATCAGGAGTTGGGTGACCTCTGCCCACCCCCATGGCTCTGCTGTGTAGCCTTGGGCGAGTTGCTTCTCTTCTCTGAGCCTGAGTTTGTCACCTACAGAGTGAAAGACTGGAGCAGATGTAGGATGCCCAACCTTGGGGCCATGGAATTAGAGCAAGGGGCTCATAATCACAACAAGCTTTATCTGTCAACTGCATAATTCATTGTCATCATCACTAGCAACGGTACCAGTCACTAACAACTTACTATGTCCTTTACATGCTGACAGCAACTGAATGAGGCTGGCACGATTGTTATACCCATTTTACAGATGAGGAAACTGAGGCTCAGAGAGAATGAGTGATATGACCCATGTCCCACAACTCACATGTGGCAAAACTTAGCTGTAAAGCCATGGTTCCCCTGGCCCAGTGGCTCAGCACTCAGCTGCAGGTGGTCCTGCCTCACTAAAGAACAGGCCTCACGCTTCCTTGTCCTACTGCGCCTCGTGTGTGTGTAGACGTGGTTACAGAGTAGTGCAGAACTCACAGTAGCTTCTGGTAATTCTGCATGTGCTCAGTAAAAAGTGTGACTACTGCTGTTTGGCAGTCCACAAAACTTGCAGACATTCCAGGGGAACCCTGATGATTAAAAAAATTGGGGTAAGAATCACTGGATAAATATGCCCTCAAGTTTTGCCAACTCTGTGACTCTATTAAAAGGTATGGCTTCACATCCACACTGCCTCCTGCCTTCCATGAGCTCCTGCCTCCCTCTCCCTCAGCCTCCCTCTCCCCACCCTACTCCACTCCCCTAGCCTCTTTTTTGTCTCCTTGCAGGCAGCCAACCTGCCTCCACCACTCCCCAACAAACCTCCCCCTGAGGACTACTATGAAGAGGCCCTTCCTCTGGGACCCGGCAAGTCACCTGAGTACATCAGCTCCCACAGTAAGTTCTGGTCTCCTTGCTGGGGCTGGGGACTTCCCCTCCCTGAGAAGCCAAATCTCAGCTCCTCTGTGTCCTGTGGGAGCTGGAAGTGCAAGCCTGTCACCCTTCCAACCATGTCACCATTGACTGAGGAGAAGCTGCCCTGGGCACCTGGCCTCTTCGGTGACAGCCTGGGTGGACCAATGTGTGTGGCCCCAGGGGCTAGGGACTTAGGTTCTAGTCCCAGATCTGTGTGGCCTTGGAAAATCCCCTTGCCCTCTGGATCTCTGTTCTTCCACCCTTAAAACAAGAAAGAGGAACCAGACACACCGTGTCGGTGTGCTAGGAGGCAGCTACACAGATGACCACCACTATACTGTTCCCCCTACTAAAACTGCTAACCCAAGTGCTCCTCTCGAGCGGGTGGTGAAATTGTTTCAGTAGACTGACATCCTACAGATGGGTTAGGTTATCGAGTCAATGCATAAAATAAAAAGCATGCGGTCCAAACCAGAGGTTGTCAGAGTAGAGTGGGGGTACCCAGGGGTTCATAAGATGATGTAGGCAGAAATATCAGAAGCTTTACTTCTATTTAGTTCAACACATCTTTTAATAAATTCCATGTGAATGTTTTGTAGTATTTATAATCTGATAATAGCATATTTTTAAAAAAATGTTTATATATACACATATAACATACAAAAACACACATAAATATATGTATATATTTTTACTAGTAGGTGGGTGCAGTAAAATAATATAGTGAGCACTGGTACAGGTTACCATTGAAAATCTCTTAAATGGGCCATAAAAGAGAGTCTTTGGTCTTTTCATCGGTTTCCTCCAGCATTGCAACACATGGACGTTCTTTTGAGTGAAGATCAGATGAACTCACTTGTTTGGGTAAAAGGACTAAATGTTACATATAAGAAACTATATCCTAATGTTTGGATGGCTCAGGATGAGTAGTTGAATTTGTAGAAGATACTGTTTGTGTGATGCTACTCTGTCATTCAGCAGCACAGTGGAATGTTCTCCAACCACCAAAAAATCATCAGATTTCTAAAATGAATTCTGATTGGCACAGACAGATCGGTTTTATTATGTCATTGAAAACATCAAACACAAAGTACTGTGTACAATTCCATTTGTTTTTTAAATAGGGTGTACACACACACACACATATATACACATACATGCATGCATCCGTTTTAACAATTTTTCAAGAATATGCAAGGAACTATTAATAGGATTTTCCTGCGGGAAATTAATAGAAATATGGGTGAAGGGAACATATTTTTTCATTCATAATCTTTTGTATTACTGTTTGTGCTTTTTACCATGGTTGAATTTTTTTATTGTGGTAAAATACACATAAGATTAACCATCTCCACCATTTCAAACTGTCCAACAAGTGACATTTAGTACATTCAGTACATTCACAGTGTTTGCAGCCATAACTACTATCTAGTCCCCAAACATTGTCATCACCACAGAAGGAAGCCCATGCCGCTAAGCAGTCACTCCCCATTCCCCACCCCAGCCCCTGCTAACCACCAATTCACTTTCTGTCCATAAGGATTTGCCTATTCTGGACATTTCACATAAATGGAATCATATAATCTGTGGCCTTCTGTGTCTGACTTCTTTCACTTAGCGTGTTTTCTAGGTTCATCCACGTTGTAGCATGCCTCAGAACTTCTTTCCTTTCTATGGCTGAACACTATCCCACTGTAGGGATAGACCACATTGTGCTTATTCATTCCTCAGCTGATGGATCTTGGGCCGATTGCACCTTTTGGCTATGGTGCTTGGACCAGGTAATCCACAGCCCTCTTCAGCCTTGATAGTCTCAGGTTCTGTGTTATCGCAGATGTAAAACAGCCAACTTTATTTTATACATTCAAGGGTAGGGAACAGAGGGCTGCTGGGCCTTCAATCCCAGGTCAATCCTATTGGCTAGATGGGGCTCCTTCATCTCCCCAGGGAGTTCACTTCCCTCTCAGACAGGGCAGAGAAGACACCTCCCAGAAGCCGCTGGAATCCTGGGGTAGAAGGAAAGGGAGGGCTTCAGGAAGGACCGGGAACCTTGTCCAGGGAAAGCACGCCAAGCCCATCAGGGAGTATCCTTCCTCTCGCGCACAGCGTCCAGCCCTGCCAGGTGCCTGAGTACTGTGCCCCCATGCCCCCTCACCCTTCCCCACTTCACACCTCTGGCCCTGGTGAACACCCCTGTTCACCTCCCAGGAGATGTCCAGCGTCTGAGGCCTCAGAGTGCCTGCTGGAAAGGCGGGCTCCGAGCCTCACTTGGGAGATAGAACTGGGTGTCCCTGTCACTGGGAATGTCAGTGCTGCTGTCTTCAGGAAACAGATGCACGGGAGGGGCTAGGAGCCCAGAGCAGCATTCTGAAGAGCCGTGTGCTGTGAGAGTGAGTTGGACTGGGTGAAGGAAGGCTTCCTGGAGGGGGGATGTGCACCATCCCCTGAGCCGGCACCCTCAGTTCTGATCCAGGCTCTGTCACCAGCAAACTGTGTGTGGCTTGTTTCCTTGTCTGTAAAATGGGGCTGATCTCTACCTCCCTGCCTTGTGGGAATCAAAGGAGACAATCACAGTAATAATAGCTGGCACTCATTTAGCATATTGTGTGTGCCAGGCACTGTCCTAAGAATTCACATGCATTGTATCACTAAGCCAAGGTGGGAATTGCTCATGTCACTTTCCAGATCAAGAATCTGAAATGCAGAGACTTTTCTTTTCGAGGTCACTCAGTAAATGATAGAGGTAGGACTTGAACTCAACTCTGATTGATCCCAAAGCACATGCTCTTAACCATCTGAACTCAAAGTATGTTCCAGAGACTGCCTGTATCAAAATAACATTTTTAAAAAATTATTGAATAAATTTTTCCCAACTCATTGGAGTCCAATATATTTTCTATTTTTATGGATGTTTAGAATTTTCCTATTAAATAGTCATTTTTTAATGCAGATTCCTCAGCCCAGCCCACTCCAATGAACCAGAATCTCTGGAGATACAGCCCGGGCGTCTGCATTTTCAAACAACTCGCAGATCATTCTGATACAGAATACAGTTTGAGACATCCCACTAACACCAGCACTGCACTGTGCTACCTGCCAGCTCCAAATGGGAAGGTGTTGTGAAAATCCGCACAGGCAGTTGTAGTCACTATTATGCGCGATATTATTATCTCCTCTAGTTCAGTTCTTCCTTTGCAGTCCCAGAGGTTTAGAAGGAAGTGAGAGGAAGGGCTGAGGTGGAAGAAGATGAGAAGGCAGAGCAGGGAGGGAGGTCTCAGCCCAGGCAGCTGGTACATTGCTCCCTGCAGTACAAAAATCAGAGCTGTGACCAACACACACACCACACACACACACACCACACACACACGCGCACACACCGTGCACACATGCAATACTCTGGGGTCATTGAGGGGGAGCTGACCACTCCCTGCCTAAGGAAGTCAGAGGAAAGCTCTTTGATGTGGGTTTTGATGGATGAGAAGTCCTCTGGCAGAAGAGAGAGAGCACAGGGAACAGCACGAATACGTGCCGGGAGATAGGACAACCCAGCAGGGCAGTTTCTGGTGACAGGAGCAGAGGGACTGTGGGGAGCTAGAACAGATGAGATGCAGAGAGGAGGCCCCACACCCTGGCCCAGAGCTGCTCAGAGTGTCTGCTGTCTCTTCCCTGAGGAGGAGTAGGGGTGTCAGGGTCTCCCCCAGTCCTGGCCCCTGGAGTTTGCCTGCATTTCTCCAAAGTGCAGCTCTTTCTGACAACCCACAGATGGCTGCAGCCCCTCGCACTCGATTGTGGATGGCTACTATGAGGACGCAGACAGCAGCTACCCTGCAACCAGAGTGAACGGCGAGCTTAAGAGCTCCTGTAAGTACCAGGTGGGCGTCCAGATGCTGGGCAGGGCTTCTGCCCTTGGCCTGGCTGTTAGCATGCGTGTGCCCACCAGCCCCTCACCCAGACCATGGTCACCAGAGAGGCCCCAAAGCCCTTGTTTTGAGTGACCCCAGCACTCAATGGAAGGACCGCTGGAATGAGTCAGGAGGCCTGGATCGAACCCTTTCCCTGACTTTTGATAACTAATCTTAGGTGAGTAATTTTTTTTCGCTGAGCCTCAAGTTTCCTTATCTATAAAATGGAGATTTGCTGGGTTATCGTGAAAATAATGAAAGACAACAGATGTCAAGATGAAGGGGTAATGACAATAGCATAAATTTATTGAGCATTTATTGGGTGCCAAACACTTGGCTAAACACTGTCCATGCATTGGTCTTCAAATAGCCGGCTGAAGTGGGTATCTCGTTTATTATGATCATTTTACTGATGAGGACACTGAAGCTCTGAGAAGGGAAGTAACCAAGATCACAAAGCAAGGGATAAATCAGTACAACAAAATGCAAAAGGCTCACACCTGTAATCCCAGTACTTCGGGAGGCCAAGGCGGGTGGATCACCTGAGGTCAGGAGTTGGAGACCAGCCTGGCCAACATGGTGAAACCCCATCTCTACTAAAAATACAAAAATTAGCCGGGTGTGGTGGTGGGCGCCTGTAATCCCAGCTACCTGGGAGTCTGAGACAGGAGAATCACTTGAACTCGGGAGGCGGAGGTTGCAGTAAGGCGGAGGTTGCAGTAAGGCAGAGGTTGCAGTAAGCCGAGATCACACCACTGCAGTCCAGCCTGGGTGACAGAGCGAGACTCCATCTCAAAAAAAAAAAAAAAAGTAGAGGCCTTAGTCATTACCAGTGTCATGCCTTATGCCCATGCCTTCCTAGCCTCAGGCCCCAGTGCAGGGATGGCTGCAGAGGGGTGAGAAGGTGCTTCCCCAGAATGGCACAGTGACAGATCCTTTCCCATGACGCCTGCAGATAATGACTCTGACGCAATGAGCAGCTCCTATGAGTCCTACGATGAGGAGGAGGAGGAAGGGAAGAGCCCGCAGCCCCGACACCAGTGGCCCTCAGAGGAGGCCTCCATGCACCTGGTGAGGGAATGCAGGATATGTGCCTTCCTGCTGCGGAAAAAGCGTTTCGGGCAGTGGGCCAAGCAGCTGACGGTCATCAGGGAGGACCAGCTCCTGGTGAGTGGTCTAGCAGCAACCACGTGTCTCAGCCTCACATAGACTTGCATGTGGGTGTGTCTCTACATCCATGTGGATATGTCTGCCTTGGGCATACCCGGATTGACTTGGTGCACAGAAGCTCAAAGCCCCCATGCTCCCAAGATCACGACTTTCCCTACTGGAGCAGAATTTAAACACACACACATACACACACACACACACATACACACACCCTCTGTCTCTCTCTCTCTTTCTCTCTGTCTCTCTCTCTCGCTCTCAAATTTAAAGACCTGGGCTAGGCACGGTCGCTCACACCTGTAATCCCAGCACTTTTGGAGGCCAAGGCAGGTGGATCACTTGAGGTCAGGAGTTCGAGACCAGCCTGGCCAACATGGTGAAACCCCATCTCTACTAAAAATATAAAAAAATTAGCCAGGTGTGGTAGTGTGTGCCTGTAGTCCCGGCTACTTGGGAGGCTGAGTCAGGAGAATCACTTGAAACCAGAAGGCTGAGGTTGCAGTGAGCCGAGATCGTACCACTACACTCCAACTTGGGCGACGGTGTGAAACTCCATCTCAAAAACCAAAAAAAAAAGACCTGATATAGGCTTTACCATGTTTTTGTTTTGTCAAAAAAAAAGAATTATCACTTTTAAATTTTTGTTGTTTTTCATTATGCAAGTAAATGTGCTTATTTATAAACTAGAGAAAAACAGATGAAAAGTGATTTAAAAAAAAACTATTGACCAAACATCAATAATTTCACTGACCAAGAGATAACCACTATTAAGCTTTAGTGTACACATTTCCACCCTCATTTCCATACATCTGTCTTTTATAAAACGAATCCCCTACAAAACTCAATTGTTCTATTACTTGCTTTTTTTTAAGAAGGGTTTTTTTTTATATTTGCCATCTCTCAGCTTATCATTTCATAAAAGAAAGAGCACCTTTAATTACAAAGTAAGAGGATAAACATAATTTCAGAAAAAGAATAGCTTCTCTCCCCAGAAATCTGTTGACAAGCCTTGCCCAACACGAATGCATCTGAAACATGACCTTTTCTCACTCCAGGGCGGCACTAGTCCAAGGGACATGACAAACCTCTTTCCAGTCCTACCCCTTCTATATTTTTCTCCACACATTGCAGTAGCTAGGACCTCAAGCACAATGCAAACAGAAGTGGGAGAGCAGGCATCCTTGTCTCAGTCTAGAGCTCAAAAGGGAAGTCACTGTTAAGGCTGGGTATGGTGACTCATGCCTGTAATCCCAGCACTTTGGGAGGCTGAGGCAGGAGGATCACTTGAAGCTAGGAGTTCAAAACCAGCCTGGGCAACAAAGCAAGACTCCATCTCTACAAAAAAAAAAAAAAAAAAAAATGTTTTTTATTTAGCCAGGCATAGTGGTATGTACCTGTAGTCCCAGCTACTCAGGAGTCTGAGGCAGGAAGATTGCTTGAGCCCAGGAGTTTGAAGCTGCAGTGAGCTATGATCACAGCACTGCACTCCAGCGTGGGTGATAAAGCAAGACCCAGTCTCTAAAAATAATAATAATAATAATTTACCATTCAGGATGACATTTGCAGTGGGTTGTTTGTAGATGAAAATGTTCCTTATGATTACATTAAGGAGATCCCTCTATTCTTAGTTCACTTAAATGGATGCTGAATTTTATCAAATACTTTTTCTAGCTCTATTCAGATATGTGATTTTTGGCCTTTTTTTCTGTTCATATGGTTAATGATACAGTTGGTCTTTGAATGTTAAACTGCTCTTGCATTCCTAGAATAAACCCCACTTGGTCTTGATGTAGTTGCTTTTTACATACCTCTGGAATCCATTTGCTAGCATTTTGGTCAGGGCTTTTGCGATTGTGTTATGAGAGAAATTTGCGTATAATTTTCTCTTTTTGTAGTGTCATTGTCAGGTTCTGGTATGAAAGTAATGCCGGACTCATAAAAAAAGATGGGAAAGTGAGAATTATTATTCATAAACTATTGACTTCCCAAGGCCAACCCTCCATCTCTACTAGAATTCTGACTCCCAAATTCCTGCCAGGTAGATTTTTAACTGGCTTCCTCCCGAGCCAGCCCATTTCTTCTCTGGTTCTTTAGGGTAACCTGGTCTTCCTAGGATTATGCTACAGTCTGCCTCTTCCCAAATAGGTAGTTGTGACTGAAAATCGCCCAAAGATGCCTCCTCCCAGGCTTCTCTTCCAGGGTGAACGGCCTGGACCCTTCAGCTATCCTCGCACAGTGCCCATGGCTAGGGTGGGGGAGGCCTCTAAAGGGAGGTCGGGCCTCCCCCGAGCCTTTGAGTGACGATGTCTCCCTCCTCTACCCTCTACTTCAGAAGATCCTGATGCCTTTCTCTCCCTGTCCAGTGTTATAAAAGCTCCAAGGACCGGCAGCCGCATCTGAGGTTGGCACTGGATACCTGCAGCGTCATCTACATGCCCAAGGACAGCCGGCACAAGAGGCATGAGCTGCGTTTCACCCAGGGGGCTACCGAGGTCTTGGTGCTGTCATTGCAGAGCCGAGAGCAGGCCGAGGAGTGGCTGAAGGTGCGTGGCCTGCACCTGACCTTCCCACCTTCCCACCCTTTCTCTCTTCCCCAAGCCAGCCCTCAGTAGAGCTGGCTCCTGTCCCTGGAAGAGCCTCTTGCTCAGTGCCTGAGCCCAAATGCCCTGTGTGTGGCTAGGGTTTATGTCTGGAAATGGGCCTCAGATATCTCCAAGAGGCAGACTTCATGCTGGAGACCTATGTTCCTTCTAGTTACTTGAATTCCCTTTCCAAATCCTTACTGTGGGCTTGTTCAGGCTGCACTTGTATACCTCCTGGAACTGGAAGCTTAGTATCTACAAAGGAAGCTGATTTCATCATTAGACCAGTGAATTCTTAAAACAACAACAACAATAAAGGAAAAATCTTTCCTTGCCTTGAAACGTACATCCTTGTAATGACCACCCATGGGCCAGCTTCTGCCTCTGCAGCTACACGGAACAATGAGAGTTACCAAAAAATGAGCACTTATTTTGTGCCATGCATTGTGCCAAGAGCTTTACATACATGACCTCATTTCTGCTTGAAAATGGGACAAAATATTATTGTTCCCTTTTCACAGATGAGGAAACTAAGACGCAGCTTTGAGAACTTATGTGACTTGCCAAAGGTCACACAACCAAAGTGATTGGAGCCAGAATTTGAAGCTAAGAAGTAAGTCTCCTCCAAAGGCCATAGGCAGGATGACATAGTGATGACATGGGAGAGGGGACTTTGTGGCACCCACACTTGAGTCAAGCCCCAGGCCTAAGGGGCACTTACTGGTTGTGTGACCTTCTGCAAACGACTTTGCCCCTCTGTGCCTGTTTTTTTCATCTGTGAAATGGTCCTTGGAAGGATTCTGGAGAGCACTCGGCACAGTGCCTGCCAGGCAGTGAGTGTGTGGCAACGGTCAGTAATTACTGCCATGATGACTGCGATGCCCCACCCCCCATTCCTTTACAGCAGACCCCCATCCCTGCACCGCCTCTACTTCGCTCTGACACCGTCCTTTCCTCCTCTGATCTTCCTGCTGGAACAATGAAACCAAACACCTCCCTCCCTACCCAGCCCCTTCCTTCCTGTGATAACCAGCCCCCGTGATGGAACATTTGGTGTTTCTCATTACCTCTTTGTCTCAGGAGGGAAGGAAGGGGAGAACCTGCCTGCTGGGGGAGCCTGTACCCCTCCATGGACTGGTGGGGTCGGCAGATGGAGCCCTAGACTGGAGTTAAAAGAGACCTGCCTTGACATTGGTCCTGGGCGGCAGTTAGCCCAGAGGTTAACTGTGGGCAGCTGAACTGCCCGCATTTAGTTTCTGGCTCTGCTGCACCTAACAGGTGGCTTCCCCTCTGCAAGCCTCGTCATCTTAAGCTGTAACTCAGGGCTCACAAGGCTGCTGAGGGATAAAATGGGATAATCCACAGAAAGCCACCAGATAGGTGAGCAACAAATGGTGGCTATGATTATTTCCTGATCTCGTGCTTATTGCTGTGTGGCCTTGGCAAGTGAGTGGATGCCTTTAGGAGATAGAGGTGATAACTCCAGCTGCCCTACAGGTTGCTGTAAAGGTGCGCATGGTCACAGAAGCAGGTCCCTCACACTTGTGAGGCTTTATGGTTCCCATCACTCTTCACATCTGTGGTCCCACTGTCCTCAGGCAACCCAAGGAGGAAAGCAGAGGACTAGGATCATTCCCATGTTGCAGATGTGGACACTGAGGCCCAGAGCAGAGAAGTGGCTCTTCCCAGACCACACAACTAATTAGCAATAAGCCTCTTGGTCCCCATCCTTGTATCTTTTCAACCCAGGGGACAGATATGGGAGAAAGCCTTTACAAACCCCAATGTGCCCCACGCATGTGCAGGCGGCTATGTCAGCCCATCTGTTCCCCACAGTGGCCCTGACCCTCTGTTCTACAGCATTCACCACACAGACCCCATTCTTCCTTTGCATCGACAGCTTCCCTGCCCACCCGTTCACAGCTGTGTGTCCTCTTCACAGGTCATCCGAGAAGTGAGCAAGCCAGTTGGGGGAGCCGAGGGAGTGGAGGTGCCCAGATCCCCAGTCCTCCTGTGCAAGTTGGACCCGGACAAGGTATATCTGTCTCCACTAGGTCCTCCCCGGGCTAGGCAGTGGCCACTCAACACAGGCTCAACCCCAGGGGAACTCACTGGCTAGGGGGAAAGCCGGGCAACTGCCAAACTGTAGGTGCCCAGCACAGAGCTGGCACAACAGTAGGTGCTTAATAAATGTCTCCTGAATTCATGAATGCATGAACAAACGAGTGCCTGTGCCCAAAGTGCAACACAAACCAGAGGAGGGAGTGACGCACCTGCCAGGACGGGAGGAGGTCACGTTGCAATCGTGCCATGAAAAATAAGTTGAAATTTGTCAATTAGAAAAGGAGGGTGTATAATCCCAGCACTTTGGGAGGCCAAGGCGGGCACATCACTTGAGCCCAGGAGTTCAAGACCAGCCTGGACAACATAGTGAGACCTCATCTCTAAAACACAAAAATTACAAAATATTATCCAGGTGTGGTGGCACATGCCTGTAGTCCCCACTACTCAGGAGGCTAAGGTAGGAGAATTGCTTGAGCCTGGCAGGTGGAGGCTGCAGTGAGCCATGATTGCGCCACTGCACTCCAGCCTGGGCAACAGAGTGAGACCCTGTCTCAGAAAGAAAGAAAGAAAAGAGACAGAGAAAGAAGAAAGAGAAGGAGTGTGCCTGTCTGGAACATGAGAGAAGCAGGCATTAGCCAGTTGGTCAGGCTGGTGGCAAATATGTCCCAGTACCTGCACATTGCCAGGTATTGTGGGTAACAAAGGGCCTTGGACCCAAGTCCTCCCCTTAGGGACATTACAGTCGAGGGGAAGGGTTAAGACCCACAGACACGGGCCTTGCATGATGTAATCAAGGCTTGTATTTGTAGACTGTGACTGCATGCCCTGCAGTGTACTAAATGCTTTAAGTGTATTAACTGAGGTGATTTTCATAAGAACTCTTTGGATAGGTACATTTTCAGAGGAGAAAGCTGAGACAGAGATTTGCCCAAGGTCACATAGTAAATAAGAACCATAGCCAGGATTTGAACCCAGATGGTCTAGTTCTTGATGACCATGTTGCCCCTCCTCTCAAGACCAGGATCCTGGGCACCTGCTTGACAGGTACTCGGTGAGTACCCAGGGCACCCCAGGAACTGTGCTAGCCATTGAAATGCAGTCCAAACACAAACAGGTGCAAGCCCTGCCCTCACAGCACTTCCAGCCCAGTAGGAAGTAGACGTGAATCAAACAGTCACACAGACTTATAAATGCCAAGCTGTGTAAATGCTAGGAGGGAAAAGTACCAGGTACCCTAGGGCCCTGCCTCTGTCTCAGCGCCCCAAGAAGGCTTCTCTGAGGAAGTGATATTTCAAATGAAGATGAAAAATTAGCAGGGAAGAGGAGGGAAAAGGCACTCTAAGCAGAGGGAAAAGGTACAGGAGCAGGAAGAAGCATGGAAGTGAAAACGGCCAGTATGGCTACACTCAGAGAGCAAGGAGAGCCCACCAGCCTGTTAGAGTATCACAGAAAGCTACAGTGAGTGGAACAGGGGCCCACACTGGCTGGAAGGACGAGAAGGGTGAGGGAAGATGAGCACCTATGTTGAGCCTTAAGGCGTAGGCAAGATTTCACTGAGGCAAAGGTGGGCCAAGGGGAGGGAACAGAAGCAAAGGTATGGGATCAGGCAGAGTCACCAGGAGTAGAAGACGTGCCCAGGTGGATGCAGGAGGAGAAGCTCAACCCTATCCTCACTTAGCCTTTGCCATGCGTGAGGCCAGAGGGAAAGCAGCGTTGACGGTGTCAGTGTGTGAGTGTGTGTGTGCACACACTTGCCAGCACATGCTGTGGTGCAGTTTGAAGGATGTGTAGAGAGGAAGAAGAGGCAAGCTGGTAGAGTTGAGATTTCCTGTGGCTGAGCGTCCACAGGGAGGGTAACTAGAATGTTGGGGGTGGTATTTTGGGTGGAGAGTGAGGGTGAGGACGTGATATTGGTAGGTCTCTTCTCCACAGAATCATGTGATTGCAGTGTCACCATCGAGTTCATTCCAAAGTGCTCACGGTACCTCTTTGTATTTGCTCTATCTTGATGAAAAATTTACCATCTGTACACCATTGCAGAACACATGGAGCCTTAGCTTCTGTTTCACCATTTGAAGAGGTGATTCTTCATACTTGACAGTTCTGTCCTCTTTCTGACAGCTGTCATGTTTCCAGCCCTTTGGACATTGAGAGGTGCACATGATCGCCTGTCCTCTCCGTCCCCTGTTGCTTATGGTGAAGCATCCCTGAGCCTGGTTTGAGGAGATCTTGGCAGGAAAGGCTTTGGGGCCTCAGAGCTCTGTAATTCCACCTTCTTAAGTGAGTGGATGTCATTTAATCCTGGCCCAAGTGTGGCTGGTGCAGTTTAGCTTCTTGAAGAAAGATGGCAGCACACCACATAGGTGTTAGAAATGATACAGTCCGTGGGCCTTCACTAGGGCTGGCTCCCTCACAGCAGCCCTCTGAAGTAGGTGGAATTCAAGTGAGAAAACCCAGCCTTGGGGAGACAGAAGCACTTTCCCACATTCCCATAGCTAATAAGTGGTAAGAGAGTCATCATTACTTCTACTCTACATCCCATGGTACCTAGTAGACACTTAATGGACCTTGTATGAATGAATCGATGAATGGTCTAGAGTTGGTGTCACGAGTAAAACTAATTTGGGCTGGCAATGAAATTGTTGACATGTTGTGTGTGCGTGTGTGGGTGTGTGTCCCCTTCCCATCCTCTCCTCCGAGTTAGGATCATAAGGGACTCCTGCTGGTCACCAGGTCCCACCATGACTATTTTGAAAATGTCTGCCAGCTCATCTGTTTTTCTCCATCCTCACTGTCATCTTGGTTCATGCTCTTGTTGAGTCTCATCATGACCAGGATGACACTCTCTTAAGTGGCTCTTTTGCTTCCAGTCTTGTCCCCTCTTTTCTATCCCCACAATGCCACTGGAAGTAACTTCCTAAACCAATTTGGATTACATTAGTGTTCCACTTAAATACTTTCCCAGCTCCCTGTCACCTGCCAAAGACAGTCCGAATTCCTAAGACATTCATTTCAAAGTGTTATAATTAATTGCCTCCCTCCCTAAATGGACTGTGAATTGCCCAAAGACATAACCATATCTAAGTCATGGTTGTCTTCCAATACCTGGTATGGGATCAGGCACAGGATAATTGCTGACAAACATTTGTTAGCTAATTATCATGTGCTGGGGGAGTCGGAGGGAGATCGAACCAATAAAGGGAAATTTGGGTACCTCCAAATGTGCCCTCTGATGGGGGACTGTCTGTGTCCCTCCTCAGAGGCTGTCCCAAGAGAAGCAGACCTCAGATTCTGACAGCGTTGGCATGGGCGACAACTGTTCTACCCTTGGCCGCCGGGAGACCTGTGATCACGGTAGGAGCCTCTGGGGGCTCAGGCTGGGGAATGCTGGAACTGGGCAGGGCCTTGCCCGTGGGCACACAGCGGCAGAGTAGGTTCTGATCATTCTGGAGACCTGGGTAAGGTGACCTGGCCTGCCATCCCTGGAGCTGCAGGTCCATCCTGTGTGCAGGCTGAAAAGGCCACAGGGAAAACTAAGGATGGGTGAGACTCAGGGCTCCCTCCACTCCCCTGACCCATTTTCCCAACAGGCAAAGGGAAGAAGAGCAGCCTGGCAGAACTGAAGGGCTCAATGAGCAGGGCCGCGGGCCGCAAGATCACCCGTATCATCAGCTTTTCCAAGAAGAAGCCACTGGCCGATGACCTGCAGACGTTCTCCACCGAGGAGGAGGTTCCCTGCTGTGGTGGGTCCAGGGCACGGGGATGAGGGGTGTTCAGGTCCTGTGGGCGCGTGCTTCTGGGGTTGAGGCCAGGAGACCTCATGCCTCATCCACCTCACCCCCAGGGCAGGGGAGGGAATCCCAGCCTACTGGGAGGCTAAGACCCACTCCATTAACACTCTAGGCTTTCCCATCACTTCTCTTTCCAGAGGCCCTGACACTCAGCGAAAGGAAAAGCCAGCTGACCACCGTATTTCTATGCTCCCTGTGACCTTAGTCCAAATCACTGCCCATCTCTGGGCCTCAGTTTCTCAGTTTCCTCCACGATAACAAGACAGGGGTATCTCATTTCCCAGCATAGAGCGTGCCAGGTGTATAAGTAACAACCTATATTATAGGGAAATTTATTGGAGAAACATATTTAGGTACTTTTTATTATAAATGCATTCAATGTGAATTAAAAGTGATTTGAAGGGGAAAACATTATTTTGCTCATGTAAATGTAGTGTTCCATGTACTGGAATCCAATTTTTAAAAATCATATATTTTGGATATAAAGTAATATTCTAACCCTGAAAAAAATATTATAAAAGTACATGGCAAGACCAGGCGCAGTGGCTCCCCTCTGTAATCCCAGCACTTTGGGAGGCCGAGGCGGGAGGATCGCTTGAGCCCTGGAGTTTGAGTCCAGCCTGGGTAACATGGTGAAACCCTGTCTATACCAAAAATACAAAAATTAGCCAAGCATGGTGGTGTATGCCTGTAATCCCAGCTACTTGGGAGGCTGAGGTGGGAGGATCACTTGAGCCCAGGAGGTCGAGGCTGCAGTGAGCCATGATAGAGACAGCATACTCCAGCTTGGGTGACAGAGGGAGACCCAGTCTCAAAAAATAAATACATAAATAAATATATGGTTACAAAGAAATATTTTGTAATCAGTGAATCAGGGTGCATCATGGTAAAAATAAACAAATTTAAATCTAAAACATTAAGAGGGAATTCTAAACCTGTGGGTCATTAGCTACATAGCAGCTGTGCCTTGGTCAATTTTAGGATTATGTAGGCAAGATATTTTTGTTCCCACACGCTGCCACTGGGTGTCAGCATCATCCATTATTTTCCATCTTTCAGTAACAGTTTTGATTCGGGGAGAAAAGGCAAAAGAGTTGTGTTTTTTATATCATACGCAGTAGTTCCTGCCCTTTTCATCAAGCTTGGTGTGGCCCAAAGGCTGTGCAGACATGTACGAATGCCATTATCAGTCCTTGTTTCACAGGTAAGAAATAAACTCAGAAAAGCATGCCCAAGGTCACCCTGAGGTCACAGGGGAGAGAAAGCTAACCAGGACCCTGAGGTCTTCTTTCCAACAGACACAAGGAGCCGCCTTGCGTCCCCATGCTGTCCCGGGGCAGGCTGTGGGAACCTCACACCACTGTCTCCTCCAGGCTACCTGAACGTGCTGGTGAACCAGGGCTGGAAGGAACGCTGGTGCCGCCTGAAGTGCAACACTCTGTATTTCCACAAGGACCACACGGACCTGCGAACCCATGTAAACGCCATCGTCCTGCAAGGCTGTGAGGTCGCCCCGGGCTTTGGGCCCCGACACCCGTTTGCCTTCAGGATCCTGCGCAACCGGCAGGAGGTGGCCATCTTGGAGGTGAGAGGGTAGGATGCAGGTGGTACTTGGTCTGGGGACTCTGGTCTGAGTGTTGTGTTTTTGTTTGGGGGAGCCCTTGCTGCTGACACCATGGGGACTGAAGGGGAAGGAAAACAAGCCCCACTCCTGTCAGGTGACCCAAGTAGGATTATAAGACAACATACAGGACACCCACTTAATTTGAATTTCAGGTAAGCCATGAACATTACCCGGAACGTTTTCATAAAAATATAGGTATGTGCCACGCAAGATTGGAGCTCTATCGATACTAAAATATTATTGTTCATCTGACATTCAAATTAAACAAAACATTCTGTATTTTTATTCACTAAATCTGGCAGCACCAGAACCAAGGTTTGTTTTTTCTCCCTTACCTTAAAATCCCAAGCCTGAAAGGCATCTAGTCTAGTCTAGCCCATTCAGATTCTGGAATCCCCTCTAAGACCTTTCACCAGTACCCTCCTCTGGTGGAGGAGAAGGTCCACTGCCCCTCCCATTGAGCAATTCAAATTTTAGACAGATTTTCCCCATACTGAGTTGAAATCTTTGAGCTCCAGGAAGGCAATAACTAGGCCTATTCTGCATACTTTTGTTTTTCCAGAACTCATCAGGATGTCCTGCACTAGAATACTATGGGCTCTAGAAATCTTTGTTGAACAAATGAGTGAATGAAGTATGATTTCATTTCACCGATTCACTGTCCCTACTCACGGGCAGTAGCCTCCTCTCTGAGGTCACGCAGAATACGTGGACTCTCTCTTCCACATGGCAACCCTTTGGCAATTTAGAATTTAAAATGTTAACACTAGAGAAAAACAGAAAACTAATTTCTCCCATTACAGATAGGAAACTGAGGCCAAGGCAGCCATGTGCTTTATCCAGGGGTCCACCAGTGGTCTCTCGGTCTTGTCCTAGAACCTGACCTCTTGGTCTTGTTTTCTGCCCAAGACCCACTGCCTCTCTCAGTTCTTAAACTTCAAAAAATATCTTCTCTGTAACTCACTTTTATTTTTGGTAGTTTGAGATCGGTCTCTTATTTCTCTTATACACGAGCAAAAAATGTGCTTTATTTATTCAAGTTTAGTATTTGTGTGCTAATTTAATTATATAAGATGCTCTTTAAATGAGAATTAACATAAGTCCATGTTTAGTTGACTGGCAACTTCTTGGAGATTTTCCTATACACAGTATTGTAATTATTTGGCAGTTATAAGACAAGAAAAAATTTTGATTGAGTTATATGAGAAATGACCTCTTCTAATAAAAAATAAATATTTTTAAAAAATTCAGAGAATACCCAAATGTTGGTTTTATATCCTAATGGTTGGAGAAGGCTCTGAGAATGGAAAGTGAGGGTAGGGAGGCCTCTGTCTTAGAGAGGTCATCAGGGAGGGCCTCTCTGAGGAGGTGACATTTGAATGGAAACCTGAATAGATGGAAGAAGGGAGCCTCTTGGATTTCTGGATGTGTGCTGTAATCTTATTCCTCTTTGACCCCTGAGTATCGGGTACATAGTCAGTACTTACAAATATTTCTGGGTTTGGCTGAAGTCAATAGGTCTCCAGAAGCTCTGACAGTAGGAAAATGAACTCTACCTTTGCCTCCTGTCCTTCAGGCAAGCTGTTCAGAGGACATGGGTCGCTGGCTCGGGCTGCTGCTGGTGGAGATGGGCTCCAGAGTCACTCCAGAGGCGCTGCACTATGACTACGTGGATGTGGAGACCTTAACCAGCATCGTCAGTGCTGGGCGCAACTCCTTCCTGTAAGTGTCAGCTGCACCGGCCGCACCTGCCCAGGACCTTTCCTGTCTCCATCCCTCTCAGACACTGAGTCCAGCCCTGGGCACTGGGAGGGAAGGGAGGAGCTAAGGAAAGCTCTGCTTCCTTGGGAAGTTGGAATGGGTGTCTTCCTCTTACAGCAAAGAGTGGGGAGCTGGCTGAAGGAGGTAGCCTAGGGTCAGAGGCAAGCTGTGGATGGAAGGAGCAAAAGTAGAGAAGCCTTGGAGTAGTGGCCTGGGTTCTGCCCTCATGCCATGGGACTTTAAGCTTTCACACACTTGATCATGGGCGCATGGCTAGTATATGGCATTCAGGTACTAGAAGAGCCAGGTTTGAGTCCCAGCTCGGTCACCACCAGCAGTGGAAGCTTGCACTGGTTGCTTGCCATCTCAGATCTCTGTTTTCTGACTCATAGAATGGTGGTGATGAATTACCTGCCTTGCAGGTTGTTATGAGAATCACATTGGTCCTGTCTGTAACACCCTAACACAGCCCATGACACAGTGCTTCCTGCCATCTTGCTTTTACTAATCTTCTGACCTGCCTTAAGAGTTTCCGCCAGAATCAATGAGAGTGGTGGACAGGAAAACACTGTAAGTCGCAAAGCATCATTGTCATTGTCATTGTCGTTGTACCTTTTATTTTCTAGATATGCAAGATCCTGCCAGAATCAGTGGCCTGAGCCCCGAGTTTATGATGATGTTCCTTATGAAAAGATGCAGGTACAGTCCCTTGGGGCTGCCCAGGAACGTGGCAAAGGCCACTTATTAGCTCTCCCTCTTTCTGCTCCCTTTACCTTCTGCCTCAGAGAGATCATTTTCATTTAAGCAGCAGTGGCTAGAAGGGGAGCCCCTTCTTATCATAGAGCATGGCTCAAGATGAGGAATCCCTGGCACAGGAGGCTGGGTGGTGCAGTGGAAAGAGACCCAGGTTGGGAGGAAGAAAGGGCTCTGTAGACTGCCAAGCACTACCAAAAGGTGAGGCATCGTCTCCAGTTTGAGCAAGATGCTGGGACCCTCCTCCTGTTTACCGCTCTGTGAACTTATCCTCCTGATTCTGTGGTGTCTGGGGCGGGTGCTGACTCTGGGGCCAACCTGCAAGCCTTCACCTAGTGACTTCGTGATCTGGAAGCGTCAGCTCCCAGGCCAGTCTCCATGTTTTGCTTGCTAAGCCAGGGAGATACCAACTTACTAATTTACAGTGAGGCCTGAGTAGCCATCACATGACCTGGAATGCTCCTGGCAGCATGCCCTGTGCTGTCTCCTCCCTCAGAAAGCGAGAGGAGAGCCACATTCCAACCAGATGCTGGTGGGTGGGTCAGGCCTCACCATTAGCAGGAGAGAGAGGCAACTAAGCTGTGTCTGCAAATGTGTCTGCAGACAGGACCTCTGCCTTGGACGGTGCTGGATGACACACTGAGTTTTCACCTCTAGGACTCCCTTTTCTGGAAAGTTCTCCAGTCATCCTTCTGTTCATATGATCTTTCTTCAGACTCAGATAAACCTGTGGATGCAGCTTGAGGTTTTTCTCAGTTGCAGAGTTTAGTGGCAAGATAGCTTAGCACTTAAGGATGTGAAGTTTGAGTCAGACTCAGGGCTGCTGGTCTTCGCTTCCTGACTCCAAAAGAATATGATAAAACCTACCTTCTTGGATGGCTGCAAGAATTAAAGAATACTTTATGTAAGAAAGTTTAGGCAAGGTCTGGGTGCCATGGCTCATGCCTATAATCCTGGTACTTTGGGAGGCTGAGGTGGGTGAATCACTAGAGGCCAGGAGCTCGAGTCCAGCCTGACCAACATGGCAAAACGTCGTCTCTACTTAAAAACTACAAAAATTAGCCAGACATAGTGGCACATACCTGCGGTCCCAGCTACTTGGGAGGCTGAGGCAGGAAGATCGCTTGAACCCAGGAGGTGGAGGTTGCAGTGAGCCAAGATCATGCCACTGAACTCCAGCCTGGGCAACAGAGCGAGACTCTGTCTCAAAAAAAAAAAAAAAAAAAAAAAAAAACGTTTAGGCTGGGCACAGTAGTGGCTCATACCTGTAATCCTAGCACTTAGGGAAGCTGAGGTGGGTGGATCACTTAAGCCCAGGAGTTTGAGACCAGCCTGGCCAACATGGCAAAACCCTGTCTCTACAAAAATTAGCCAGGCATGGTGGTGTGCACCTGTTGTCCCAGCTACTCAGGAGACTGAGGTGGGAAGATCGCTTCAGTCCAGGAGGTTGAGGCTGCAGTGAGCCATGATCACACCGCTGCACTCAAAAGAAGAAATTCGCACAGTGCCCAGACATTGGAAGTTCTTATACAGAGGAGTAAATAGTACTGTTGTTGACAACATCATTATTATATTACGTTATTATCATATTTAACTCATAGTTTCCTAAGCTTTCACTGAATTTTTAGTATTCTTAATATTCTTCATGCACAAATGTATAGTTAATCTATTAAGTTATGTCACTTCTATCACTGGCTCATCTCATCCAGGACTTTCCTTCTTGAGGGAAGACTCTTTTCTTTTTGAGGCAATTCAGAAAATCAGGATACTTCCAAATGTTCTAAAGACAAAAATATCTATGATAAATCAAATATAGCCACCCACAGTCTTTTGAGATTTTCTAATTTTCGTCTCAGCAGGTACTACAGTTTAGGGTTGCCTTCTGCTGCCCCCAGCAGAAAAGTATGAGGTTCAAATGATACACTGCTAGCAAAAGTGCTTTATGATTTTTGAGTGCTATGCAAGTCTAAAAATGTAAGACCAAAATCTCAGAGCAAGAAGACCCCATACTGAGCAAAGACCGTAGTACAACCTGCATTGATGAGTCTGCGCCTGCCTGAACTTGACTGTCTTCCTCCATCTCCCACCAGGACGAGGAGCCCGAGCGCCCCACAGGGGCCCAGGTGAAGCGTCACGCCTCCTCCTGCAGTGAGAAGTCCCATCGTGTGGACCCGCAGGTCAAAGTCAAACGCCATGCCTCCAGTGAGTTGTGTGTGGGCCTCCCCTGCTGACTAGGGAGGAAGGGAAGGAAGCAGTCTATAGGAGAGATCTCAAAATCAGTTCCTCTGGTGGGTAAATAAATGAGCAAAGTGAGATGCAAGAAAATACTCTACCCTAAGAAAAATCACAGAGCAAGCACAATGAAAAAGGGCAGCTAGCATGTGGCCTCAGAGGAAAAATGACAGGGAGTTGGGGGGTGGGGAGGTACTATAGGAAACTGATACCCAGTTTCCTCAGGTCCCAACTATACAGGAGGCTGCTGCTCAGCTCCAGCAGACGATCCCCATGAAGCAGTACCAGGCCCCTAACACCAGATTTGCTAATTACTTAAAAGAGACCAGAAATCTAGACTTTAGGTGAAATCTACTTATTTTTTAATATCAGCAACTATTTTTTTTTTAATTTAGCACTGAATGAGGCCAAATAGAGAGAGAGAGAGAGAGAGAGAGAGACTGTTGACAAGCTGTATCTGTTTCAGAGGCTAACAATTTGTGATTTCTGATCTGGGGTAGTAAGTGGAGAACTGAACCCATCCGAATACCCTGGAGCCAGCTGCCGTGAAAGCCACAGCTCACCTTGGTGTCCTGCCCTAGCTCTGCCTAGCACCCCACAGGAGCTCAGTGAATTGCCTGATTGCCACACTGCACAGTAATGTGGATAACTAAGTATGCCAGGCAACTCTGTTGTAAATTCTGTTTTACTTCCAACAGTAATCTGTGCTCCTGTGTGATTTCTCTTTATGAAGAAGCCAGCTTCCTGTGGGACAGCATGTTCCAAAAGTTTTTTCTTTGTTCCTTTACATTTATTCCCCCTGCATCTCAACAGAGTCAAGTTCTGTTCTGTGCTTTTTGTAAACTTACTTTTATATTTTAATACCTATTTTTAAAAATACTTTTCTGTATTATGGCTCCATTTCATTTGTATAGATCATCCCTTCTGAGGGTCAGGAAATCTGTATTCTATTCCTCATTCCTCCCTTGACTACTGAATTACTGTGTACCTCTGGGAAAAGTCCTTTCCCCTCTCTGGGCCTGAGTTTCCTCTCTGAACAATCAGAAGGGTGTTGTGTAACTTTGCACTCTACTCTCAGAGATACTGGAAATGCAGGGCCTTGTGAAATGCCCATTTTAAAATGGAAATCTAAACTGAAAAAAGCATGTAAGATTAAAGAAATCACCGAATGTCAATGACAACAACAAAAAACTAACAAACATACACAAAAAAGTAGACCCTTTCTTCAGATCAAATCTCATATGAAAGCCAAGTTTATAAAATAAAATAAAAGTGGAGCTACTCTGGTTAAGGCCCACTTGGCCTCCACTTCTCCTGTTAGCCATCACCGCGGGGTCATAAGGTTCCTTGAAGGGCAGTGGGAAACCACGGTGGAAGACTGCTAATGAATTCCAACAAGGTTGTTTTTTAGATGAAGAAACTGAAGAAAATAAAAGAGAAGATATCTTCATCCATTTCTCCTGCTATAACAAAATCCCATAAGCTAGGTAACTTATAAATAACAGAAATTTATTTCTCATTGTTCTGGAGGCTGGGAAGTCTGAGATCAAGGTGGCAGCCGATTTGGTGTCTGGTGAGGGCCTGTTTCCTGGTGATGACCATCTTTTTGCTCCCTGGGGTCTCTTTCCCAAGGGCACTAATCCCACCCATGAGGGCTCCACCCTGGTGACCTAATCACCTACCAAAGGCCCCACCTCCAAGTGCCATCACATAGGCGATTAGGTTTCAACATATGAATTTGGGGGGATGTAAACATCTAGTCTATAGCCAAAGGATTTTGCCCACGATCGTGTATTAATTGCCTATTGCTACATAAGAAATTACCCAAAATTTAGCTCCTCTAAACAATAAGCAGGAACATGTGTCATGTCACATGGTTTCTGTGGATCAGGAATCCTAAATGGCTTGGATAGGTAGTTCTGGCTTGGGGTCTCTCATGAGATCTCAAGATGTTGGCCGGTCATCTGAAGTCATCCAAAGTCTTGACAGGCTGAAGGATCCACTTCTAAGATGACTCACTGCATGCCTGGCAAGTTTGTGCTGGTTGTTGGAAGGAGGCCTGAGTTCTTTGCCATGGGGATCTCTTCATAGAGTTGCTTGTCCTTGTGATGTGACAGCTGGCTTCCCCCAGAGCAAGCAACCCAAGAAGGAACAGCAAGGCTGATACTGCAAGGTCTTTTATGATCTATGGTTAGAAGTTACACTCTGTCATTCTGCAATATCCTAATGGTTACACAGGTCAGCACTGTTTAGTGTGGGAGGGGACTATAAAAGGGCATGAATATTAGGAAGCAAGAATCATGGAGGCCAAGTAGATTGCTGAGAAAAATGGTGGTGTGAGAAGCTGCATGGACCCACTCCCTAGCAAAACAGCTGTAGCTGGTGAAATTTATTAAAACAAACAATTATTTAAAGTCTGGAAATTTTCCTGAGGGCAAATGAAGAAACATTTATTCTAGAAAATTTGCTAAATCTTAGTAAGAACAGCGAGAGTTTGTGGCATTTGAGCCACAACCTACCCCTTTATTCCCCAACTCAGTTTGAAAGAATCTTCACTCCAGGCACATCTGGACAAGAAAACAGGGCTGCTTCTTTCCCCAGCTGCCAGTGAAGGGCTACAGTATCTCCCCCGGAAGGGCAGGCTGCCAGTATTTTTTGTCATACCCAGCTCCATGCTGCAGAGGCTAAATTCCAGGTGATTGCAGCCAAGAGGGAGGAAGCGCCCTTCCTCTACCCAGATGATAGAGCAAAGGCTTTGCCCCAGGTAGGGTAAGCCAAGAATACTGGGGCCTTGATTGCCCTCATCCTAGCTCACTTGTAGGGCAGAGGTTCCATGCTGGGAGAGGCAAGCAGAGTAGACCGGAGGTTACGTCCCCCACCCAGCACCCTGCTCATAACAGAAATGTCACTCCAAGAGAAACAGGCTCTTAATTTGTTTTGTGCTGCTATAACAGAATACCAGAGACTGGGTAATTTGTAATGAACAGAAATTATTAGCTCCTAGTCTAGAGGCTGGAAAAATCCAAGATCAAGCTGTTGACCTCTAGCAAGGGCCTTCTTGCTGCATCATCACACGGAAGAAAACAGAAGGGCAAAGAGGCAAAAGGGGGTTGAATTTGCCCTCTTTTAACGGCATTAATCCCACCCATGAAGGCAAAGCCCTCATGGCCTAAATCACCTCTCAAAGTCCCATATTTTCATACTGTTACAATTGCAATTAAATTTCAACATGAGCTTTGGAGGGGATGAACATTCAAACAACAGCACAGGCCATTGTTGCCACCCCTGGATCCAGAGCAGTGACTCAAAGATTTTGCCCAGTGGGGAAAGGCAAGCCATAAGAACAGAGCACTCCAAAGCTCTTCCTCAAAAGAACTGACTTTAGTTGGAACAGAGTGTGGGAAAGTGTAAACCAAAGGGTGCTCTCAAAAACAATGGAGATTTGGTGGTTATGAGAACAATAAACTAAACCACAAGCTAGTTTATCAGAGAGAACCACAGAAAGAGACAGCTAAAAATGCCCTCAGCCAGGTGTGGTGGCTCACCCCTGTCATCCCAACACTTTGGGAGGCTGAGGCAGGTGGATCACTTGAGGCCAGAAGTTCAAGACCAGCCTAGCCAACATGGCAAAACCCTGTCTGTACTAAAAATACAAAAATTAGCCAGGCATGGTGGCGGGCACCTGTAATCCCAGCTACTCGGGAGGCTGAAGCACAAGAATCACTTGAACCCAAGAGGCAGAGGTTGCAGTGAGCTGTGATCATGCCACTGCACCCCAGCCTGAGTGACAGAGTGAGACCCTGTCGCAAAAAAAGAAGAAAAAAAATTTTTTTAAAAGAAATTGTTTTAAATAAAAAGAGCCCTCCTAGGGTTAGAATAAATCTCAAAGATGAGCCTCCACAACTATCCTATAAAGGGGCTGAATTTAATTGGATCAGACTGTGGAGTAATTTATGCATTGTCAAAATCAATAGAGCAAACACCTGACAATTAGTAGCGCCTAACAGCTGGGTGTAATAGCAACAGAGGCGGACTGCTTAACAGGAGATTAGGGAAGGAGTCAGAAATCCCTGCTAATACGCTGTCACCCCAGAGTGACTGTACACATGCCAAGGCTATGGCCTCTGAGGAGCAACATCAGTGCCTTCATACTTCAAGAGGAAGTAGACTACACTAAAATAGTTCAGACAAGTCACTAAACGAATAAGAAAGTAACCCAACAACCCAGCTGGGGGGATGCATATCAAAAGATACTATAATATATTCTCTAAAATGACCAGTTTTCAACAAAAAATTATGAGACGCACGAAGAAGCAGGAAAATGTGACCCATACAGAGGGGAAAAAATCAAGCCATAGAAACTGCCTGAGAGAGGACCCAAATGTAGAATTTAACAAAGATTTCAAAGCAGCCATTATAAATTATTTAAAGAACTTAAGGAAACCATGCTTAAAGAAAGAAAGGAATGGAAGATGACAGTGTATTAACAGATAGTCTATATTATGAATAGCCTATATTATTGGTAGTCTCTATCAATATATTATTGATAATAGTCCATTCCTCCTGCTATAACAAAATTCCATAAGCTGGGTAACTTATAAACAAAAGAAATGTATTTCTCATTGTTCTGGAGAAATTGGCTTCATACTGCAGGAGGAAATAGACTATGCTGAGTACTACACTACACTATACTGTACACTACAGTATAGGTACATGGAACTACACTATAGTTATATGAAATATAGCTATCCTATATTATACTATACTACATAGTACAGTCATATGGAATATATTATTGATAATATATTGATAGAGGCCTCCAACAGAAAGATAGAAATTATAAAAGGAAGAACCAAATAAAAATCATGAGGCCAAAAAGTACAATAACTGAAATGAAAAACTCACTCAGTGGGCACAACAGTAAATTTGACCTGGTAGAAGAATCAGTGAACTTGATGATAGAAAAATAGAGATTATGCAAACCAAAGAGCAGAGAGAAAAAAAGAATGAAGAAAAATGACAGAGCCACAGAGCATTGTGGAACACCATTAAGTGCACAAACATATGTGTACAGGGAGTACTAGAAGAAGAGAGAGAGATGAGCATAAAAAATATTCAAATAATGGCTGAAACTTGCCAAATTTATTGAAAAACATTAATCTATACATCCACGAAGCTCAGTGAAATTCAAGTAAGATAAAGGCAAGGAGATCTACAAAAGACACATCATGGTAAAAATGCTTATACCAAAGACAAGGAAAAAATGTTGAAGGCAGAAGAGAAAATCAAGCCGTCATGTATAAGAGAATCCCAGTAACATTAACAGCTGACTTCTCATCAGTAACAATGAAAGCCAGAAGGCCCTCCATGCTGTATTTATGATCAGGCTTGAACTGCAGGGTAGTTGTGTCAGGAACTGATTTTTGCATGGGTCACTGGGTGACCACTGCAATCCCTGCAGCAGCTGGCTAGACAAGACCCCCAATTATCCATAAACTGCAGGAATTATTCTGCACCGACTTATATAAAGCAGCGTGCAGTTCTGTATAGCGCACACACACACACACACACACACACACACACACAAAAGTAAAACTTTCCCCAAGAGGTTGAACTATGGCCTTGAACCAGCTAGAGCAGTATTGCACAGCATGGACCCTGGAGTCAGAAAGACATGGAGACATGGGTTTAACCTCGGCTCTGCCACCATTAGCAGTGGGACTTAACTGCTGTGTACCTCAGTTTCCTCAACAATAGAAGAAAACTAATTATAGTATAAGTTTTGTGGGCTGGGCACAGTGGCTCACTCCTGTAATCCCAGCACTTTGGGAGGCTGAGGCAGGCTGATCACTTGAGGTCAGGAGTTCGAGAACAGCCTGACCAACATGGTGAAACCCCATCTCTACTAAAAATACAAAAATTAGCTGGGCATAGTGGCGTGCACCTGTAGTCCCAGCTACTCTACTTGGGAGGTTGAGGCAGGAGAATCACTTGAACCCCAGAGGTGGAGGTTGCAGTGAGCCAAGATCATGCCACTGCACTCCAGCCTGGGTGACAGAGTGAGACTCTGTCTCAAAAAAATCAATTAAAAAAATAACTTTCATGATGACTAAGTGGGAATGCAAGTAAATGGCTCAGCATATAGTGCCTAGTGTATAGTAAATAATACATTTTTGCCATAATTATTTGTTTTTATTGTCCATCATAGTGTTGAACCTACAGTAGACCACCAGGTCCCTCCCTCCCCCAACCCCTTCCCCAGTAATAAAATGGATAACTGACTGTAGCTCAAAGTCTAGAATCTCTGGAGATCTGAGTTATACCGAACGGTCTCCTTGTCTTATAGATATCTGAAAACTGACTATAAAACTTGTTCTTTTAAAACCAAAGTATGTTCTACACCACAAATTTGTTTTTTAATAATATTATCATTATTACCTAACCCTATTTGCCTACTATACTAAGTGCTTTTCATTAATCATCTCATTCAACCTTACCACAACTCTATGAGGTAAATTGTATCCATATCCTTGTTTACAAATAAGGAAACTAAGGTCAAGGGGGAAAGGCACAGTAAAACACTACCAGTCTCTTTTGCCTAATGTCACACAACCAGGAAGGTCAAAAATGCCCAAATCTCAGGCTGTCTGTTCCAAGGCCTTGCTCCTAGTCCCTGTGCCCTATGGCCTCCCTTTTGCTTCTTAATTCCTTAGAGGATTCACACTAAATATATCTAAGGGACTTGGTCTAAATATTTCCATTTTATAGATGGAGAACTTGGGGCTGAGAGAGAAGCTGACACCACCCAAGTACCTTTGCCAGAGGTCAGAATTGAGGGCCTTTCCCTTCCCCACATCTCTGCAGGTGCCAATCAATACAAGTATGGCAAGAACCGAGCGGAGGAGGATGCCCGGAGGTACTTGGTAGAAAAAGAGAAGCTGGAGAAAGAGAAAGAGATGATTCGGACAGAGCTGATAGCACTGAGACAGGAGAAGAGGGAACTGAAAGAAGCCATTCGGAGCAGCCCAGGTACCTATGTGATTGTGGTCCTGAGCACCTATGGGTGGCCAGCTCATCCTTGGGCACAGTAAAGGGAGGTCTCTTGCACAAGTCACCTTGTTTCCAACCCAAGAAAAGTGGGCTTCTCCTCCCCTTCGCCTTCTCTTCTTCCTCTTCTCCTCTTCATCATTATCATCATCATTCCTCCCAATTAAAGAAAGTGTCATCAGTTTAATAACTTGTTTTGGAGGGATGAAAAAGCATCACAATAATGTATACATTTAATATAGTAAGCAGCAATCTGATTTTAGAAATGTGAAGCATAGAAGTGTGCCTTAGAATCAAAGAAATAAGAGATGTCATTTTGAACCCCACCTTTATTCATTCACAGATATATGTGAGACATTGGTCCTAGTACAGGGAATAATGGACATGCCGCTTTCCCAGGATCCTCTTCTGAAACCAGGGACCTCAGCAGGCCCTGCCTGCTCTGGGCTTCTCCACACCCTATTTTCTGCTGTGTTTCCTTTGCATTCTAACTACAGTTCAACACACTTTAAGCCTAAGGTTTCTCCACGTGCCAGAGGGAGCAGAAGTCCTGTTGCTATAGAACATGTCCACAAACATGTAGCCCTGTGAGAATCTGGTGGACCTATGGACCCTTTTCTAAGAAGAAACACCACAGTTCACAATGTTGCAAAAAAAAAGTTCAGGAGCTCATGTGGCTGCCTCTGGAGCCTATCCATAGATTGCCTAAGACTCCATGAACCTCAGATTAAGAACTTCTGGTTTAAAGGAGAAGACTTGTTCTGAGTGGCCAAGAACCAGAATCAACAGGAGGAAGGCACAGGAAGACAGTTTGGTTTCCATATAAAGAATTTTCTGAGAGTCAGAACCAGGATTTGGAGCAAGTTGACTATCCTTGTCCTGCTCAATTTTTTCCCCTATGGCACTATCACTTGGTAACATATCAGATTATTTATTATATTTATTATTTATTGTTTGCCACAGACACACAAATGTAAGCACCATAAGGGCAAGGATCTTTGTCTGCTTTGTTCACTGATACATCTAGGGCTGAGGACAATGCCTGATACATGGTAAGCATGCATTAAATACATGGTGAATGATGAATATAAAGAATTCAACATTACTGGAAAACCCTCCAGCACAGCCTTCCTCAGGGCAAAGAATGGAACTGATTTTTAAACCTGGTAAGACCCAACACAGCACTTGGCATGAGAAAGGTACTAATATAGGTTTGTTAGATTAAATTGAAAAAGTGGGCTGGGTGCCATGGTTCACGCCTGTAATCCTAGCACTTTGGGAAACTGAGGCAGGAGGACTGTTTGAGTGCAGGAGTTCGACACCAGCCTGAGCAACATAATGAGACTTCATCTCTATTTTTCTGTGTCTGTAAAGCCCTGCTATGACACTTGTTTACAAGTAACAGAAACCAAAGCTAAACTGGCAGAGAAATGAAAAGAAGATGTAATTGGAAAATTGAGTGATCTGGTGTAGTGGGGTCCAGGGACTTAAATGATGTCACCAGGAAGCTTATTTCTCATACTCATGCTTCTACCCTTCTCTCCTTTGGTTTCATTCTCCCCTTGTGATGCCACAATGGCTGCACAATGCCAGCCCTCACCCAGCCCTCCCAGCCAACCCAAGCAGAGAGAGCTTCTCCTCCCAGCAACCACCACAAAACCCTCTGGATTCACTCTGATTGGTCCCACTTTCATCCTTCATCCAATCACTGTCACCAGAAGATGAGCTGTGATTACGGGGCAGACCTAAGTTATGTGCCAAACCCTTGAACTAGAAGCAGAGTCAGCCCCACTCAAACTAGAGAGAATGGGGCTGGGGGGCAGGTGCAGTGGCTCATGCCTGTAATCCCAGCACTTTGGGAGGCCAAGGCTGGTGGATTACTTGAGGTCAGCAATTTGAGACTAGGCTGGCCAATATGGCAAAACCCCATCTCTACTAAATATACAAAAATTAGCTGGGCATGCTGGGGTGTGCCTGTAGTCCCAGCTACTCGGGAGGCTGAGGCAGGAGGATCGCTTGACCCCAGGAGGCAGAGGTTGCAGTGAGCTGAGATCACCCACTGCACTCCAGCCTGGGCGACAGAGTGAGACTCCATCTCAAAAAAAAAAAAAAAGAAAAAGAGAGAAGAGAGACAGAATGAGAGGGGGAAGGTGGTTTCCCAATGAAAACTCACAGAGTGCTATTTCCAGGAGATGGTGAAATGGGTACCAGACATATAAAGACCATAATGAGACCTCATCTCATTATGAAGCTGGAACCCCAGTATGGAACTGGAACCCCAAGCCCAGAGTCCATCTCTTAACCAAGACTGGGGACTGGAAAGGCCCACCAGGAGGGGCAGACAAAGGCATCAGGCCCTGCCAGATTCCCCGACGCTTCAGGTCAGGTTCAGCTGTTTCTTATCAATGTATCTTGATTCAGGAGCAAAATTAAAGGCTCTGGAGGAAGCCGTGGCCACCCTGGAAGCTCAGTGTCGGTCAAAGGAGGAGCGCCGGATTGACCTGGAGCTGAAGCTGGTGGCCGTGAAGGAGCGCTTGCAGCAGTCCCTGGCAGGAGGGCCAGCCCTGGGGCTCTCCATGAGCAGCAAGCCCAAGAGTGGGGTGAGTTCAGGGCCTTCCATACCAGGGACAGCTACTCCTGTATCCCTCCACACACTGCAGATCTCTCCTTCATGATCACTCTTTGGAAGTAGGGGTTATGCCCATTTACAGACAAGAAAACTGAAGTCCAAAAAGGTGAAGGGCATGCCATGGGTGGCACAGCTAGGAAGAGGACTCTTGGAGCAATTTCTCTTGATTTTCTGGCCTGTTCTTGTCTCCACAGCAGCATCACCATTTGAATTTTTACCCTAAAGGTGATCTTAGAAATGGCCTTGGGGTTATTGATGATAATAGGAGCTACCATATGTTGAATAACAAGCATGTGTGATCCATTACTACAGGCATCTTAACCTGTATTATCTCACACAATCTTCATGGCAGTCCTATGAGGTAGTTTAGGGGTTGACAGACAAGAAAACTAAGGTTCAGAGATGTCGAATGACTTGCTCAAGGTCACTCAGTGAAGTGGGAGACAGGATTCCAAACCCAGGAAGTCTTAACTCCAGAGCCCTGCTCCAAAGCCCTCCAGTGCAACATGGCAAAACCCTGTCTCCACAAAAAAAATACAGCGGTCTCACATGCCCTCTCCTGGGATCTCCAGGGTACCAGGCCCTGTCCTCAGGGCTCTGTATCCATTATCTCTAATGTTCCCAGTAACTCTGCGAGGAAGATTCACTCACCTCCAATGGGGCTCTCTCAGAGAGAACTTCCCTGACCTCATCTACACCGGGGTTTCTCAACCTCAGCACTACTGACATTTTGGCCCTGTAACTCCTTCTTATAAGGGACTATTCTGTGTATCAGCAGGATGTTAGGGATCTTAAGGTCCTACCTAAGGATATCAAGTAGAATGTTAAGCAGCATCTCTACCTTCTACTCACTGGTTGCTAGTAGCACCCCCCGACCAGTGACAACCAAAATATCTCCAGAAATTGTCAGATGTTCCCTGGGAGAGCAAAACTGACCCTAGTTGGTCTAAATTACCAACAGCTCCCTCTATTATTCTTCCTCATAGCACTTTACCACAATTTGTGTGTATGTGTGTGTATATATATATTTGTGTCCTTGCTTGTCCAATGTCTGTCTTCTCCACTAGATTCTATTCTTGTTAAGAATTGGACATCCATTTATCATTAAATTCCTGACCCTTTACAGAAAAATAGTGGGAGTGCAAGAAATATTTGTCAAATGAATAAATGTTTTGCCTGCTTTCGGGTGAGGAAATTGAGACTTAAAGAGACGAAATAACTTGTCTGATAAGTATGACTTGTCGGGAGGCAATGTGTCATTATTATTGTTGTCCCAGGTCACATTTCCTGGTCACACCACACCTGATTGAGCCAGTGCTGTGTCTTACACCCCTACACTTCCTTTCCATGGGGTGTTTCCAATCTCATTATATAGATGAAAAACATGTCAGCCAAGGACAACTTCCCAGAGTCACAGAGGGCTGGTGGAGGAGCTAGCATTGAGTCATTCATCCCAGCTGCTTCCTCCCACCAGCATGACCTGATATTCCCATTCCAGAGCACTTTTCCCTCAGTTTTGGATCCTTTTGACATTCTTTGGAGATAAAGAGAAGCTTTCTCTAAATTCCTTGCAGGTTTAGCTGTTACGATGTCACCCTTAAGGAACTACATCTAGTAAGGTATTATACTAAGCAATTATCTGGAAAATGTAAGGGGTAAAGGTAATTTCAAAAATGAGAAGGAATACAGGAGAGAGGTTAAAAGTCAGACTGTGGGGCCAGGCAGGGTAACTCATGCCTATAATCCCAGCCCTTTGGGAGTCTGAGATGGGTGGATCACTTGAGGCCAGGAGTTTGAAACCATCCTGGCCAACATGGTGAAACCCCATCTCTACTAAAAATACAAAAATTAACTGGGCATGGTGGCACATGCCTGTCCCAGCTACTCAGGAGGCTGAGGTAAGAGAATCACTTGAACCTGGGAGGTGGACCTTCAGCCTTGGAAAGAGAGCAAGACTCTGTCTCACACACACACAAAAAAAAAAAGGAAGGAAGGGAGGGAGGGAGGAAGGGAGGGAGAGAGGGAGGGAGGGAGGGAGGGAAAAGAACAAAAGAAAAGGAAGGAAGGAAGGAAAAAAGAAAGGAAGGAGGGAAGGAAAGAAAGGAAGAAAGAAAGGGCTATGGGATTGGAATCCTGGTTCTCCCACTCACCAGCCACGTGACCTTGCACAGCAATTTGACCTTCCCCATTTCCTCACCTATAAAATGGAATGACTAATAATAGTACCTACTTCATAGGCTTGTTGAGAAGCTAAAGGAGCTAATTCACACAATGCTTTGTAGTGAGGTTCAGTAATTTTAGTTGTCATTATCATTATCTGAAGGTCCTCAAGTATCTTCTGTTCAGTGCCTTTTTGTTTTTTTTTGTTTTTTTTTTTTGAGACGGAGTCTCGCTCTGTCGCCCAGGCTGGAGTGCAGTGGCGCGATCTCGGCTCACTGTAAGCTCCGCCTCCCAGGTTCACGCCATTCTCCTGCCTCAGCCTCCCATGTAGCTGGGACTACAGGCGCCCACCACCACGCCCCGCTAATTTTTTGTATTTTTAGTAGAGACTGGGTTTCATTGTGTTAGCCAGGATGGTCTTGATCTCCTGACCTCGTGATCCGCCTGTCTCGGCCTCCCAAAGTGCTGGGATTACAGGCATGAGCCACCGCGCCTGGCCAGTGCCTTTTATTTTAAAGTTCCCATGCTGCTGGGCACAGTAGCTTACACCTGTAATCCCAGGACTTTCGGAGGCCAAGGTGGGTGAACTGCTTGAGCCCAGGAGTTTGAGACCAGCCTGGGCAATTTGGCAAAACCCCATCTCTACTGAAAATACAAACATTAGCCAGGCCCGGTGGTGCACACCTGTAATCCCAGCTACTTGGGAGGCTGAGGTATGAGAATTGCTTGAACCCAGGAGGCAGAGGTTGCAGTGAGCCAAGCTCGCGCCACTCTGCTCCAGCCTGGGTGACAAAGAGAGACTCTCTCTTAAAAATAAAAATAATAAAGTGTCCTCATGCTTTTGAGGGCAGGCTGGGTGTCGGTAGCCATCACCACATCTCACCTATGTAATTATTTATTGCCATCAACAGGAAACTGCAAATAAACCCAAGAGCAGCGTTCCAGAGCAATCTCTCCCTGTCAACTGTGTTTCTGAGCTGAGGAAGAGGAGCCCATCCATCGTAGCCTCCAACCAAGGAAGGGTGCTACAGAAAGCCAAGGTAGAGCCATAGTTCAGCTTATCACATCACAGACCTGGTAACCCCCTTTTTATGGAACTTCACCCAAAACCAAAAAATCAACTAGTGAGAAAGGTAGAGAATTGCCAATGCATTTATGCAATGAAACTCATGAACCTTCCTCAGAAGCGGTAATCCTCAGATATTATTCAGAACCTATTCACTCTTTGTTAACACATATTTCTAACAAGCTTAATCATCTGGTTTCTGAGCCTACAATGTGTTTTGAGACAGGACAGGTCCCATTTCATTGATGAGGTAACTGAAAATCAAGGACTATGGGACTTGCCCAGGGCTATGCAAGATATCACTGCAAAAGCAAGTAAGTAAACCCACGTCTTCCAATTCTAAGTCCATGGCTCCCTCCAGGATGCTGGTCCACAGTCACTTCTGTGTGACTCTTGGGGGTCAGCTATGTTTCAGAACTTTTTGGATTTTATAAAGGTAATATGGTACCTACACTAATATATGATGAAAACCCCAATAAGTCCTCAGGTGGTACCATGTAAGCAAACATGTTAATAATTCTACAGCAAGACACAGGAATATTTATAGCACATGGCATGAATAAAGATTTTAAACAGCCTCATATCAGGTCAGGTCAAGTTTTGCCACCAAATGAGTCTATACCAAAACAGTGGAGACATATTTCGGTTTCACAGCTTTCTGGATTTCTAGATGACACTAAGTGAGACCCTGTCTCAAAAAAAAAAAAGCAAGGCTCTATGTCCCTCAGGTTGGAATTGATTTTCAGAGCCTGAGAGGGAAGAGTCTTTATTCTTTCCTACAGTTAGTCATTAAACAAATATTTGTTGAAGACTTACCATATGTGAGTCTTGTTATAATTTCTGGTTATATAACAGGGAACCCAAAAAAGTCCCTGGTCTCATAGAGTTGGGAAGACAAGACTTTAAATACCACACATAAATAATGTGATGCCAGAGAAGATGAACCTCCCAAAGGGGCTTAAGCACAGTGACAGCAAAGACCCTTTCGAGAAAGTGACACATAAGCAGAGACCTGAATGGAGTGTGAGGGAGAGACCCATGCCGGGGCCTGAGGGAAGGACGATCCAGGCAGAGAGAAGAGCAAGTGTCAAGTCCCTGAAGTGGGAAAAAGCTTGGAATATTTGAGGAACATCACGGAGATCCAGGTGGTTCCAGTGAAGGGAACAAAGGGTGAGCATTAGGAGATGAGATCAGAGAAGTAACCAGTGGGGGGCCAGATCATCTAGACCAGCAGTCAGCAAACTTTTTCTGTAAAGGGCCAGAGAGTAAATAGTTTAGGCTTTCTGAACCATATGATCTGTTCCACAACCGCTCAACTCTGCCATTGTCACATGAAAATAGCCATGGACAATATGTAAATGATGATGAAAACGGCTGTGTCCCAGTAAAACTTTTATTTATTTATTTATTATTTATTTATTTATTTATTTCTTTTCTGAGATGGAGTCTCGCTCTGCCGCCCAGGCTGGAGTGTAGTGGCACGATCTCAGCTCACTGCAACCCTGCCTCCTGGGTTCAAGCAGTTCTCCTGCCTTGGCCTCCTGTGTAGCTGGGATTGCAGGTGCACACGACCACGCTCGGATAATTTTTTTGTATTTTTAGTAGAGACGGGGTTTCACCATGTTGGTCAGGTTGGTCTCAAACTCCTGACCTCGTGATCTGCCCACCTCGGCCTCCCAAAGTGCTGGGGTTACAGGCATGAGCCACTGTACCTAACCCAGTAAAACTTATTTACAGGCACTGAAATTTGAATTTCATATCATTTTCATGTGTCATGAGATAGTCATCTTTTGATTTTTTTTTTCAAACATTTAGAAATAAGAAAATCATTCTTAGCTGATGGATTATATGAGAACGGGCAATAGGCCAGACTTGGCCCACAGACTATCGTTTACCAGCCTTTTATCTAAAGCCTTTCAGGCCACTGAGGAACCATGGATCTTGTTGTAACATAATAGATCTTGCTGTGACATGATAGAAGGTTTTGAGCAAAGGGTTTTGGATATAAATTACATTTTTTAAAGACCATTCAGGCAACTATGTTGAGAATGGATGAAGGGACAAGAGAGACCAGCATGGAGAAGTGACTTACTCAGGGCCACAGAAAGAGAGAGAGGGGGCTAGAACCCAATGCAACCTGGCCAGTGGAGATCATCTAACTAGGTGCCATGAAATGTTTTTATCCATGTCACACTAGACCATTCAACAAATTGATTTGTCTTGTCTTTCTGTACTTCAGGAATGGGAAATGAAGAAGACCTAGGAAGAGAATGAGGATTTCATTCCAAAGGAAATATCAGCTTGTCCACCTGAGGAAGAAATGCTTTTTTCACAAGGAGACACCAAGAGAAGACTAGGAAGTAGCCCTCGTTCTCCAGGGCACCCAAAAGACCAGCCTTTATTGTCTGCATGATTTTAGGGGATATGGGGAGGGAAGAAGTAGAAGGGAAGAGGGAAATGGAGAACATTCTTATGACTTTACAAAGGGTGGAAATGAGGATGGAGGGATTCCCTTCTGAAGAAGAAATGAAAACACATGTGAATAACCCCTTCCATCCCATTCACAGCATCGCACTCCCAGTACTTAAGGCAAAGGGAGGCAGTGCTGAAGCATTGGTGGTGCAGTGTAGAGAGACAAGACCTGATAATCTGATCACACTTGTTCCAACTTGATTCATATTGGGCATTACTGACAACCACTGGGCAAGGCAAACAGGTTGAACAATCAATAACATTATCCCTGCCTGCATACATGTGAACAAAAGCTGTAGAGGACATGCAAATTCTACAGTCATTCCTCATTTGCTTTAGACAGAGTGCAGCTACTAGAATCTTCCAGATTTGAGTGTTTTAAAATCAGAGCTCTGAATACACAAAAGGAAAGAGAAATGGAGCAGCTGACATATTTTAAGCTCACAGTGATACTCAGTGACAGGAGCACAGAGCTCTAATGTCCACAGGATGTTGTAAGGTAGGGTCTTTCAGTAAATCAAGTCCCTTACCTATGTTCTATGACACTGAGGTTCTTGGAGCTATGGGTTAGAAATCCAGGAGGCAATATGTCATTAATCTAACGAATTCCTCATCTTGCACTCAGAGGCCCACTAGTCTGCCCTTCTATATATTAAGTAAAACCAAGAGAAAATAAGAGGATGATGGCTTCTTTCTGTCACCTCGGTGCTAAACCTTTTACACACACTTGATACTTTCATAGAGGGACCAAGGACCTCAAGTCCTGGGCAGTCTCCCTACTGTGCTACTCACTACTGTCTCAACACTGTAGGTACTTTATGGGTATGTATTTAACACATTTCCTTCCAATAAAGATAAAACCACTTAACTCTTAAGAGCCAGTGCTTAGCTCAAGAGGAAAGAAGGAAAATCTCAGAATAACCATGGCCACTTTGCTATAGGGTTTACATATTTTAACCCACCTAAGGTTTTACAGACTTTAGCCTCACTCAGATTTTATCACCCTCTGAGGTAGCTGGAGACCACAGCAGGAAAAATAACCTGACCAGTAATCACCCACTGATTAGTGGCACAGCATAGGACTTAGAGGTTATAAGCCCAGATCCAGATAGGGCTAGGTTTGAGCCCTGCCTCTGATGACCAGCTGGGCGACCTTGGGAAAGTCACTTCACCACTCTGATTTTTGTTTTCTTATCTGTGAAATGGGGCTAACAATTGTTACTTTTCTCCCAAGATTGTTGGGAAGATTTAATAAGATAATACATAGTAGGCATCTTGCATAGTGTCTGAGAAATAGGAAATGCTCAGTCAATAGTGGCTTTCACTAGCCAGGCATGGTGGTACTGGCTTATAGTCCCAGCTACTCAGGAGGCTGAGGCAGGAGGACCACTTGAGCCCAGGAGTTTGAGACTAGTGCACTATGATCATGCCTGTGAATCACCACTGCACTGCAGCCTAAGCAAATAGCAAGACCCCATCTATAAAAAAAAAAAAAAAAAGTGGCTCTTATTAGCTATATAGGAAATGTCTGACTCACAAGCCTGCGTTCTTTCCACTGAGGAAGAAACTACTCCTACATGGTAATTACAGCCACCAAAAGCTAAAAGGTAACCAATACATAACTGAGAGTTTTCATCCAAATTCCACCTGTGTTTTCACAGCTAAAGGGGCTCACATACTCCAGATTTTCAGTGTTCTTTTTTAAAAATGTGGATCCTGGAATGTCACCTAACTCTCCAACTATGTATTCAGTGTCTGTCATATTCTTTCTTATGCAGTTATTTTGGGGTTGTCTTTTCTCACCAACAGATCTTGAACTCTGAGAGGAGTGGCTGGGGGTGACTAATAATTAACATTTATCAAGCACTCACCATGTGTCAGGCACTGTGTCAGCCATGGCCAGCTTCACAGGCATGCAACCTGTGCAGTCACACAGGGCCCCATGCTCAGAAGGACCCTGTTCTTGGTTTAATGCTCTACTGTTGCCTTCTTCATAATATTTGAACAAGGGGTTCTGCTTTTCCTCTTGCCTTCTAAATTAGGTAGCCAGTCCTAGTGCTAACTAACCACTTTTCCAGGTACTATCCCTTTAGTTTTCACTAAAACCCTGAGATAAGCTGTATTATCCTAGTTTTCACAGTTCAGGAAATGGAAGCTCAGAGAGGTCAAGTAACTTTCCCAGGCTCACATAGTTCTTATGCTGGCTCCACCAGCATGTAAATATAAGAAGTCTGACCCTAGAGCCTTATTCTTAATTTTAAAGCTCTATGTCATCCATATATCTCCCTCCCCTTGTACTGCAACATTCAGAAGCACACTAGCACTTAATAAACAGATGAGTGAATGCATGGATGCAAGCAGCAACCTGATGAATGTTAGGCAGCTAGGAGAAATGTAAGCAAAATGGCTAAGGCACAGATGCCACTTGTTCTTGGTTATTAAAATGCCTTGTTTAGGCCAGGTATGGTGGCTTACTGTAATCCCAGCAATTTGGGAGGCCGAAGCAGGTGGATCACTTGAGGTCGGGAGTTCAAGCCCAGCCTGGCCAACATGGTAAAACCCCATCTCTACCAAAAATACAAAAATTAGCTGGGCACGGTGGCATGTGCCTGTAGTCCCAGCTACTCAGGAGGCTGAGGGAGGAGAATCACTTGAACCCGGAAGGCGGAGGTTGCAGAGAGCTGAGATCACACCACTGCACTCCAGCTTGGGCGATAGCAAGACTCCATCTTTAAAAAAAAAAAAAAAATGCCTTATTTGGTTGTGTTTTTTCAAAGTGTGAACCACAGATCTAAAGTAGACTTGAAGTTCCATCCTTCCCAACACTGCCAAGTGTTCAGTCTGTCAGAATTCTACTGTCACTGTTTCCTTATTGGGGCGTCTTGCACAGGTTTACCAACCTTTCTGAGCCTCAATTTGCTCACATGTAAAAGAGAATCATAATACCTTCCTAAACCATGTCACCCTTTTCATAAGGCCAAAAAGAAAATATAAGTTATTGGTCATGACACATTTGAGTTGGGCCTCGGATTAGATAAAAAGATGAAAATACTCCAGCTCTGTCCTCATGGAACTCACAGACAAGCAGGAAAGAAAATTTGACCCAAATAACTATAGTACAAATAACCTATGTTACGACAAGATTCAGAGTGCTCAAGGAACACTTCCCATTCCCTTAAAAAAAAACTTTTTAGGGGCTCTCCAGTAACTAGGCTGGCAACTCCAAGTGTCCTGGACCCCAGTCACCAATCCATCCTCGTAGTCTGTCAGCTTTCCATCCTAAATCTCTAAAGTTCATCTATATCTTCCTATCTTCACTGACACTATCCAACTTAAGTCATTCAGCAAATATTTATTGAGTACCTACTATACTAAATGTCAGAAATCAGTGGTGAACAAGCCAGACACCTCCTGAAGCTCATATTCTAGTTGGAGGAACAAACTTTTAACAAGGAAGCAAAAGAAATAAAATACTAAGAAACAAAAAGGGTGCTGGACACAGTTACTTTAGAGTGGTTAGGAATGTCTCTGTTCTCCCAGGACGGAACATAGCCCCGTCTTGCCTGGGCTACTGCAACATACTGCCTTCCGTAGCTCTTTTCTTACACCTTGCAATCTGCTCCACACAGCAAAGTGACTCTTTAAACACGTAAAGCCTTTGTCACATGTTCCCTGTCAATGTAAAATAATGTAAAAGGTCAGAATCTAGTTTAAAGAGAGTTTATTCAAGCACAAAGGTTGAGGATGGCCTGCCCGGGAAGCACAGAATGTAAGAACATGTCTATCTTATAAAGGATGGAAGTCAGTGTTCCAAAGCATAGAAGTTTGTACTCAGTGAGGTTTAACAGAATTTCAACATCTTTCTATGCAAGGCTTAATGCATAGTTACAACGATCTGAGTAGTTAAGGTGGTCTTTTTCCTTCAAGAAAGGTATATTTAACATCACACCCTGCAGGTGTAACTGTCGTGGGGTCAGTTCAATCCAGGGCACCATCTGGTCTGAGTTTGGTACAGGACAATAAAGGAGGCCATCTATTACAAACATCAGTGATTGAGAGGGGAGAAATCTGGTTTCTGCTCTGCTACATGGACTCAGACCACAGCCACATTTCTCTCAAAGCTTAAAGTATTTGGGAGGTTCCAATAGCTTTTACATTTTATTTTCATATTCCATTGCAATCAGAATCAGACTAAATTCAGCAAAAAAAAATTTTTAAAGCCAGGGGCGGTGGCTCATGCCTGTCATCACAGCACTTTGGAAGGCCGAGGAAGGCGGATCACCTGAGGTCATGAGTTCAAGCCCAGCCTGTCCAACATGGTGAAACCTCGTCTCTACTAAAAATACAAAAATTAGCTGCACATGGTGGTGGGCGCCTGTAATCCCAGCTACACAGGAGGCTGAGGCAGGAGAATTGCTTGAACCTGGGAGGCAGAAGTTGCAGTGAGCCGAGATTGTACCACTGCACGCCAGCCTGGGTGATAAGAGTGAGATTCCATCTCAAAAAAGAAATAATTTTGAACACCTAATTAGGGCACTGCTCAATGGGAATGAATAGACAATATCTCTGCCTTAAAAGAGCTTATATTTTAATGAGAGGAAATGAGAAAATACACACCATTTAAAAAACAAGTCGATAAGAAGGGCATTCGAGAAAAAGGCTGGGAGGAGTGATAGGCAATGGTTCAGGCTGCAATGTTTTAAACCGTTCACGTGATCTAGCCCTACCTAACAACTAGTCCTATTGCCCTCCCGCCTCTGTATATTTCAGTACCTTACATGCAATACTCTTCACTCTTTATTAGGCTTCTGCAGATGTTTCCCTCTGCCTGAACCCTTTCTTCAGCTCAGCTCAAATACCCGCTTCCTCTGGGAAAACTTCCCAAACGGCTAGATTTCTATTCCAGGCTTCCGCAACACCTGCCCCTCACCTTTAAACACCGCTCATATTCTGACTTTACATCCCGCTTGTATCTGTTTATCGCTCATAACATCAAGTAAGCTCCATGCGGACACAGCTATTATCTGCTTTGTTTGCCGCCGACCCTGCGCCCAGCATGGAGCCTCTGTAGTTACCACTAGGACCTGGCCTACTCGCGAAACCCACTGAAAGCCGGAAGTGTTGCGATCGCTCCGAACGACCGGATGGGGAACTGCGCGGGCCACAAGGCAAACGGAAGTATAGCGTTCCTGTCCGGAAGCCTGAGAGGGAAACGCCCGCAAAGGCTGGTTTTTAAGCGGGAGCGTCTCTTCACTCGCAGCGAGTGCGCGTGCGCTGCCTCCCTCAGCCCAAGTCGGAAACATGGCCGTAAGGTCGCTGTGGGCGGGCCGGCTGCGGGTGCAGCGCCTACTGGCCTCGACTGCCGCATGGGAGAGCAAGTAAGCATTGCAGGCGGGGGGTCGGTAGCGTGAGGACTCTGCGGGGCTAGCGAGCCAGCCCGGGTGGTTGTGGGCTAGAGAGCGAGAGTTACCTGAACATAGTCGAGGGGACCAAGCCTCTCGGCCTCTACGACCATGCACTCACGGCCCCATTTTACAGACCGGGAAACTGAGGCCCCCAGCCGCACCTCTTTCTTAGGCCGAGGAAGTGGGGGGAGATCCGAGGTCATGTATGGCCTGGAAGGTGAGAAGTCTCTTAAGCCCCCAAGGGAGGGATGTACCTCTCTCCCGGCCTCTTCTCCCAGCCTGTGGTACCCGTGAGTAGATTTGGGTTCTCTCCCCTCACTCCGCGTGACCTTAGGCCAGTCCTTTCTCCGTTATCCGGGCACTGTTGTACCTGTCAGTAAAAGGAGGCCGCTGAACTTGGTTTCTCCAAACGGCCATTGCATCAGCCTTCGGGAGACAAGTTCCATTTGCTGCCTTTATTCATCGGCAGCTTATATTGGGCGCTTACGAGGCCTACTGCAGATCTATGGGTGGTTCTTTTTTATTCCCTATTTAGTAATTGAGGAAACTGAGGTTTAGAAAAGTTGAGTAAGTTTTCCAAACTTAAATATTTGGGAAGTGGTGGAACCCGAGCTGGAAACCAGGGCATTAGAATCGGCGCTCTTATTTAATGAGCGATGTTAATTAATTTTCTCAGAAACTATTGCCTCTACACTGTTTCTTCCTGGGAAAGAGAATAAAAATGGTTGAGTACGAGGTAGGGTTGGACCTCTGAATAGTAAAGTAAGCTACGGGAGAATCTGGTAAATGTGCTTAACTATATATGTCACCGTTTTTATCTTAACACACCTGACCCAACATCCTACCCTAGCACCTAAGTAAGAGGTTGCATTCAGGGTTTCGGGACTTGGTTTTGTTTACCGTTCTCACGTCTTTTTGGCAGCTTGTTGGTGATGTAAGGAAATGACCAGAAGAAAAATGGTTCCTTCTGATAAGCTGTCTCCCTACTCCAATTCTGAAGCAGCGGGAATTGAGATTGGCCACAACTCCCCACCCCTATTTCTTGGTCTAAGCTTTGGCCATTTTCCCTTTGAACTGGCCCTGAGAATATTTTGACCTGCTTGTTCAAGTGGATAAATGTGGTTTTTTAGGGAGAAGGAGGTGTTTCCCCGTGTGTAATTATCCCCAGATCTACAGTGACCATATTTTCTGACCCCAGAATGTGGAACTGTCTATAAAATCACACATCAGATTATAATAATTGAATTTAAGAGCAGCTTGGAAAGTCGGGGAGATACAAGTCCTCTTGCCTACACCTTTAAATTTGCCCAGGATGCTCTTCCCTTTTTTAAAGCCGACTCTTTTACCCTCTTTAAGCATTTGCTCAGCCGTCTCCTCAAGGACCACTCTACAATATATGCCAGTCCATATAAATTGTTTTAAAGAACTCTTGTACTCACAGATTGATTTTCAGGATAATTTTACTTAAAGTCAAATTACGAAGATCCAGGAGGTGCAATGGAAACTTCCTTGAACTGGCGGTCAAGACTTCCACAGTCCAAGATTTGCTGTAAACTAGCCTCTAGTCTGAATTTCTTCCTGTGTAAACTGAACTAAATGTCAAAACAGTTTAGTTGTACAAAATTCTAGATTATATAACTAGTTGAATGCAAAGATCTATTTTCACCTGTGTCTATAGTTCACTGGCAGTAACATATAGTATTGTAAGTATTTCATTGACTTGATCTTATATATAGGTGGGAATTCCTTTCTCAGCACAGGTTCTCCTAAAAGCCTTACAGCTTGTGGTGAGGAAGGCTTAGAATTCTAAGCCTAACTCCAGTTTGATAAGGTCCCTTTACTGGACTAAATTTCCCCCATCTGTAAGATGGAAGGTTGAACCAGAACTGTATGACTTTTTGAATGCCCACTTATGATAATGCTTCTCTGGTTCTGGTTATTAGCATTTGGTTTCCTTATGCTGACTTTTGTATACCCAGTTCTGGCTATTTCTGCTGCCTGGTGCTTAGTGTCCTAACCCAGCAGAATACCAACTATGTGATCTTGAGCAGGCCATTATGCCTTAAGCATCTCAGCACCAGTTTTCTCATCTGTAAAATAGGGATAATGATAGGACTTATCCACATATTGTTGTGAGAGGAAAAGATGACTCAAAGTGTCTGGTACATGGTAAGGACTTCGTAAGTGTTCATTTGTTACTATAACTGAAAACACTTTCTCCAGAGATTCAATCTGGGAAGATCTCTGATCTCTAAACTTGGTTGTAATTTTGGCTTATGATGGCATTTCTTCATTATGCACCACCTCCTTCCTGTTACAGGGGATGGCCACTTCCATTCAGCACTGCCACCCAAAGAACTGCTGGTGAGGACTGCCGTTCTGAGGACCCTCCTGATGAGCTTGGGCCCTCTCTTGCTGAACGAGCCTTAAGGGTAAAAGCTATTAAACTGGAGAAAGAAGTCCAGGATTTAACAGTGAGTCGATTTTATATTTGTTCGTCATATCGTCTCTCTAGTTTAAATGTCCACATAAAGTTTTTCATGTCAATTTTTAAAATGAAGTTTTCCCTAATTGACTCTTTATCTGCTACCCCTCATCCCTCCTCCACTCCTTGCTAGGTATACTGGGCAGAAAAAAACTGTAGTAGTTCAAAAACACCACTGGCTAAAGATAGTCATCTCTTTTCGGCTTCCTGTTATGTCACAGCGCTTAGATATCTGATGTTTTGGCAGATTAAAAGAGGTGTACAGTGCCTGGAATATAGTAGACAATAAGTATATGTTGAATGAGTGAGGTCACTGACCATTGTTCTTTGCTGATGAGAAAATGACCACGTCTGGCATACTGGACCCAGTCCTAGGTTGATAGACACACTTAGAGGGAGATAGATAAACCAGAGGAATTCCAAAGCAAAACCACCTAGATAGAATGGTAAGGAGGCTGGAAAGCATACCTTATGACAGGAGTTAAAAGAAGCAAGAATTGCATTAAGAATGAGAGAGAAAAAGACTAAAGAGCGTAAAATAACTGCCTCCAAATAGATGACATACTTTTTTTTAATGAGACGTAGTTTCGCT